TGGACTCCCCCCAGCCACGCATCCATCGGCACTGTACGCTTAACACCTTGGATTGGGTAAACTATCAACTAACACTTTATGAATTAAATGTGTTTTGACCATAACATTTAAAGGTGATACTGACAAATTTTCAATTTAAACCATTATTTGAAGGAAATATTATCAAGCTTACTGTAAAATTTTCAATATATACTATATTATTATTGTTTTTGTTCACAGTTGCTCCAGTATACATTGATACTTCTGGAGGTGGGAGCGCTACCGAGCAGACGAAATTGGTTCAAGTGCAACGATCCGGATCTCTCCTATTATCACACAGGAGACAAATTTTCCGTTTCACTCGTCGCTGCAATCACTGTTATAATTCCATTTATTATTGGGAGTAAATTAATTTCTTTTTCTATTTGACCGTCGAATATTTACTTTTTTCTGTCCATATTGACTTTTTAAAATTTTAAGTAATATTCATACAAAACTTTCACGTGTATAGTTTAATTTGTTTAAATTGGAAAGCGTAAGAAAATTCACCACCCCAAATCATATAATGGGTGACGTAAGAGGCGACAGAGGGAAACTTTAACAAGGGACGGGCAGCTGCATCATTTTTTATAGGAGAAGGGATAAACGAGCTTACGGCTCACCTGATGATAAATAACATGCCCATGTGGACAACTGCAAGACCAGGGGAATTGCTGGTGCATTGTCGGCCTTTTAGAAAGGACTAAGCTCTTTTCTTGAAGGTCCCTAAGTAGTGTCGGTCCGGAAAAATTGCCGGTAATAAACTATTCCACAGAGAAGTCATACGAGGAAGAAAACTCCTAGTAAAGAAACTCTTCTTGATAGCAGCTCAAAATAATAAACTGAGGTTGCCGATCCGTTGCCAAGTGTCGCAACGATGGCAAACGCAAGCATTGGACTTTTAATAGGCTGTAATGAATTAATTTATGAATAAGTGTACATATTTAAATATAGTTAAATAAACGTATAATTTCCCAGATGTGGGGTGTTGAAACAATCCTGCAACAAAATGACAAATACATAATGAAGAAGAGTAAGCAAATCGTAAGTGCAAAAACAGTGTCCCTCGTCTACCGGCACTATCGGCGCTGTGGTCAACTTAACCATATTAGAATTAGTTAAATGCGTGGTTGGATCTCCGAGACCCACGTTTTATGACCTATGTGAAGCGGACAAAGCAAGGACGTGTAATAAGTAAGTTTTTTTTTAAATTAAATTTAGTTTTTATAGAATACATTTATTTGCCGTAAATGAAACATATTCATTTTATTCATTACCGCTTATCACATTGAGATAATTTATGTTCATTAAACTTCTATGGCCTATCAAAGTCCACTGTTGAAGGACGGCCTCATCCATAGACTGCCATCATAGGAAACCCCCTTTATCTAGAACACAGAGTATGTGTAACCATAAAAGTGATAATTATTATTATATTAATTTTCTCAATATTTTATAAATTAATGCTTGACTACTTACCCACAAGCAGTGTTGTAGCCGGCAATAGCAAAGCGTACTGTCATAGCTTTTAACAATGCCTGTTCACACGGTGCCTTGAATACACTATTATATACGCTGTAAATATTTTCCTCTCATATTTTTAGATATTATATTTTCCGATTCAATAGAGTTTATTTCGATTAAAATATATTAGATGCAATAGGACCTTAGATAAAATTTGGTATAAAACGACGAATTTAGCAGCTTTTCTGTCATATTTTAAATATTGTGGAATTGACAAATGATAAAGATAACGGTGGTAGAGCCACGCGGCAGTTTCTGCTGTTGCACGTATGGGCCGGCTCGAGCCAGGTTGGTACCATGACCTCACAGAATACTGGCGTGAAGTAGAAGCTCTGCTTCTGTGTTTCGTGAGTATTGGTGGCCGGAGGCCCAAACCCCCCCCCCCCCCCCCCAATCAACATGGTAGCGGAATCACATCAAAGACTACCCCAGGAGGGTACCCGCATCCCTGGAGAAACCCTCGCTGAGCATCCACGACCATGTTATTCCCCTCCTGAGCGTGGGTGCTCAGGCTGCCCCGTGTATTCTCATCATCATCATCATCATTACAGCCCTTCACAAGTCCACTGCTGAACATAGGCCTCCCCCAAATAATGCCACAAAGCACGGTCCTGAGCCACCTGCATCCATCGACTTCCTGCATATCTTACCAGGTCGTCACTCCATCTAGTGGGGGGATGCCCTACACTTCGCCTGCCGGTACGAGGCTGCCACTCGAGAACCTTTCTTCCCCATCGGTTGTCGGTTCTTCGAGCTATATGGCCGGCCTATTGCCACTTCAGCTTACTAATCCGTTGGGCTATGTCGGTCACTCTGGTTCTACTGCGGATATCCTCATTTCTGAGTTTATCACGCAGAGAAACTCCGAGCATAGCCCTCTCCATAGCTCGCTGAGCGACCTTGAGCTTCCTCATCCGGCCAGCAGTGAAGGACCACGTCTCAGTTCCATATGTCATCACTGGCAACACGCACTGGGTGTACAGTCTCGTTTTCAAGTTTTGAGGTATACCTGACCAGAAGATGTGCCGTAATTTCCCGAACGCTGCCCAACCGAGTTGAATCCGTCGATTGACCTCTCGGTCGAAGTTGGACTTACCTAGTCGGACTATTTGTCCCAGGTAAACATACTCGTCAACAACTTCGAGCTTAGTGTTCCCAACAACTACCGGCATAGGTGTGACATGGACATTAAACATGATCTTTGTTTTGTCCATGTTCATCTTAAGACCTATCCGTTGGGAAACACTATTGAGGTCATTGAGCATAGTGCTTAGGCCCTCCAGCGATTCTGCCATAAGGACTATATCGTCGGCAAATCGAAGGTGAGTGGTGTACTCGCCATTGATGTTGATACCGTATTCTTTCCAGTCCAGAAGCTTGAAAACATCTTCCAATGCAGCGGTAAAGAGTTTCGGGGATATGACGTCACCCTGTCTTACACCTCTCTGCAATTGGATAGGTTTCGTACTCTGGTTCTGTACTCGGATAGCCATCGTAGCTCTACTGTACAAGCACTTCAACACTTCGATATACCGACAGTCAACTTGGCATCGCTGAAGGGACTGCAGCACCGCCAAAATTTCGACGGAATCAAAGGCTTTCTCATAGTCCACATACGCCAGACATAGTGGCACATTGTACTCTTCGGACTTCTGTACAATTTGCCGAAGGGTATGTATGTGGTCTATGGTGCTAAAGCCCTTTCGGAAACCGGCTTGTTCGGGAGGCTGGAAGTCGTCAAGTCTGCGCGCAAGACGATTCGTAATGACTCTCGAAAACAGCACGTAGACGCGGCTCAGAAGGGAAATCGGTCTGTAGTTCTTCAAGAGAGCGTTGTCACCTTTCTTGAAGAACAAGACCACCGCACTTCTGCTCCACGCCTCCGGTGTAATGCCACCATGGAGGACGGAATTAAAGAGCCTCTGAAGGACTTCAAGTACCGGTTTTCCACCCGCTTTCAGAAGCTCCGCTGTAATTCCATAGTCGCCTGGGGCCTTACCGTTTTTAAGGTGCTGGAGAGCCATTCTAATCTCGCTCAGACTGACGTCCGGGATATCTTCGGAATAGTGTCAGATGAGACTCGCTCTTGGATCGATACTCACACTTGCGTGTGGCTCCAACGATGACGTGTACAACTGCCCATAAAACCTCTCAATCTCACTCAAAATCTCAGGTGTCCCGGAAACGATGCTGCCACATTCTGTCTTCAGCTTTGACAGTTGGCTCTTTCTGGCAGACAGATCTCTGGCAAAGACTTTGGAGCCTTGGTTCCGCTCGATCGCTTCTTCAATACGAGCTGTATTGAAGTTGCGTAAGTCCCGCCGCATGCTTTTGGAGATCTGTCTGTTCAGATGCCTGTATGCTGTCAAGTCTGTTGAAGAATGTAGCTTCATCTCCCGTCTAACAGCCATGAGATTAAGAGTGTGATCGGAGAGTTTTTGTGTTCTTCTGCGGCGGGTCTTGCAGAACTTAGCTCCGACCGCATGGACAGTTTCCACGAGCTTGTCATTCATATTGTCCACTTCATTGCAGTCTTCTAGGCACTGAAAACGGTTTTGTAACTCGAGCTGAAAGGTTTCGGGACTTTGGATTAGAGCACGAGGGGGACGGAGCGTTGACTTCATTAGACGAGACCTCTCCAACTTAACGTTTAGGTTCAGTGTGCCTCTAACCATTCGGTGATCGCTGCCAGTTTTCACCCTCGCGATCACGGAGACATCACTGAACAATTGTCGTCTGGTCGTCATAATGAAGTCAATCTCATTTTTTGTCGAACCGTCGGGGCTCGACCAGGTCCACTTCCTGTGGGGCCGCTTCTGGAAGAAAGAGTTCATCATAAAGAGTCCCTCTTTCTCCATGAAGTCGGCCAGCTGCTGGCCCCTTGGGTTCCGTTGCCCTATTCCAAATTTCCCTACTTTCAGCTCACCGTTCTCTCTTGTGCCTAGTTTTGCATTAAAGTCTCCCATTAACACCGTATATTGGGTTTTGGAGGAATGCATGGCTCTAGAGATATCCTCATACATTTCCTCCACCTCCTCATCGGGGTGTGCCGAGGTTGGTGCGTAAACCTGTATGACCTTCAGCGAATACCGTTTGGTGATTCTGAGTATAAGGTACGCAACCCTCGTCGACACACTCCCGATCTTTACAACGTTGTCAACGGACAAAAATACAGAATAATAATAATTATATGATATATATTATAATGAAGTGATTTCCATATTATAAAATGCTTGACCTCACGATACGGAAATACTACCTTACCCTGCATTTTGGTAGACATGTAATTCAAATGTATTGCCCGAGGGGTGTGTGGGGCTGGGGAAGTTTCAACGCATGCGCGGTCCGCGAACCGCTGTCAACCCTTGAACTTCTCAACCTGTAAACTAACCCTGAGTGTCTAGATAAAAATTTAATTGAAAAAGTTTTGTTCATTTTAAGTCGGCTACAAGATATGAATGAGGACCACGTCGTTCTCCCTCGAGGTAAGTCACGTTTATTTCATTCCAATGAATCAACAATCAAGGAGTTTTGTGTGGAAAAATCGATAATGTAATAACACAAGCATAACCTAGCTTTTGTAACTTAACGATTTCCGTATGGACATATCATATTCCCCGTTTAATGAACTTTTTAACAGTGACTGTTACACGTCTATTCAATCATGGAAAAACAGGGTTTAGTACTGAGTGTTGTTACAATATATATTTTATACTAAATTTTATTAATTTAATTTCTCAATGTGTTGTTTAGAAGAGTAATTTTAAATTGAATAATAAAGTATAAGGTTTTGTTGTTACAACTAACACGATTGCTACCAATAGTCATATTATTTATAAATTGATCGTCACGAGGATGATGGAGTCATCTTTATAAGAGCTTTAGTATATTCACCGTTACTCGTTATGACGTGGAATCCAAAAGTTATTCATTATTTACGAAAGTCTAAAAAGTGAAAATGGTGGTGAGTTTTTATGAAACTCGCTTTACCTAGTTCAAACGGATTATCGTAAGGCGTTTATTTCTTATGGGAATGCGAATCATAGAAATTGGTAGATCCGACAAAGAAATTAAAGGGGTAAATTGTTTGCAATTGTATTACAGGTCTTGGCCCTGCTGTTCCTCACACTGATCCCGTGGCCGGGGCCGTCAGTTTTCAAGATCACTTGTTCACGTGACAACTCCAAAATAGTCAGGAAAGTTATACAAAACAAATGGATGCCGGTCTTAGAAAGATTTCAGGTAAATGTAATTTGTTGATGAGCTCGTCACAATCCACTGCATGCCATGGTGCTCTACCATTTTGAAGACTAACTGTCTTAACCGCTCGAAGATGTCTTTCATCTTAGATACTGCTACCCGCCCCCGGTCTGGTTAATTGAAAACAAGCATCAGCAAGGTACGCTACTTAAGAGTATGCCACGAGATCTTTTTTTTATTTTCTATAGTCATCTCTTACGCCACCACGAGATAAATTCGATTATGGATTTTCTTAATGATTTCTTATATTTACGCGAACTCTACACATTGAAAAAACCTATTTTCTACGGATTTGGCAGCACCCATCCATCTTCTCTATTGAAATTAGGATGTTTTTAATTTCAATCTGCAGACGTCTGCAGTATGTGAACATGTTCAAGATCGTTCCCGCCATTACATCAGATTTAATAGACCACAAATCCTCGCAAAAGAACACCGATTCCTATCAAGGATGATACGCGAGGCTATTGAATTTTAAAAAAAACATCCTAATTTCAATAGATCAATTTCAATAGGTGCTGCCATCTACTTCATCATCATCATCATCATTACAGCCTTTCATAAGTCCACCGCTGAACGTAGGTCTCCCCCAAGGAATGCCACAAAGCATGGTCCTGAGCCACCTGCATCCATCGACTTCCTGCATGTCTTACCAGGTAGTCACTCCATCTCGTGGGGGTTCGCCCTACACTTCGCCTACCGGTATGAGGCTGCCACTCAAGAACCTTTCTTCCCCGTCGGTTGTCGGTTCTTCGAGCTATATGGCCGCCCCACTGCCACTTCAGCTTACTAATCCGTTGGGCTATGTCGGTTACTCTGGTTCTACTGCGGATATACTCATTTCTAAGTTTATAACGCAGAGAAACCCCGAGCATAGCCCTCTCCATAGCTCGCTGAGCGACCTTGAGCTTCCTCATACGGCCAGCAGTGAAGGACCACGTCTCAGATCCGTAAGTCATAACTGGCAACACGCACTGGTTGTACAATTTCGTTTTAAGGTTTTGAGGTATGTCTGACGAACCATCTACTTGGGATCCTATAATTAACAAAATTAAATCCAAACCCAAGCATACTACTGCAAGACTTCAAGATACTGTAAGTTCATTCTGCGTAAATCGAACCAAAAATTAATATTAAAAAACTGAAGGTAGCCGGGCTAACTGTGACATCGGGACGTCAAACATCTCAGTCTTCTCCGTGACCATGGGTTGCCGTAAAGCACCCGAAACGTCGGGAATTAAAATAGTAAATTAAACGCGATAAAATCCGTAAAAAACAGTTTTATTCAATGGATTTTCTTACCTCCATCACCATAGGCAAATATAGAAATTATCTTCTTATTTTTTTTATGGTAATAACACGCATCACCATTATCATACTTTAATTTCTAGATATTATTAAATGCCATACATATGATGACGACTTAAGATAATAACTTTTTTCGTGTCGTAGATACCTTATCTATACATATAATAAAAATGTAAATAGCAGATGTCTGTACATTTTATATTTTTGTAATAAAAGTGATTGAGAGGTACTAAAAATAAGTAATTAAATACATTTCTACCATTTTTAGATTTTTCTGTCTGTCTGTCTGTCTGTTTGTTTGTTAACGTATCACGTATAAAGTACTAATTTATATCATAAGAATAGTTAAGGAAATTATTAAGTGTATATTCAGGTTACATTTAGTCTTTATTTCATTAAAATTGGTTAATTCCATCAAAAGTTATGACAAATATTCTGAAGTATGGGTACTAAGTATAGGTACGAATTTGTCCAATAGTGGCGTTGGATGAGTCATCAAGTACATTTTAAAATTAATATCATATTATAAATCATAATTAAATGATGTAAAATAATGTTCTATAATGATATAATTATATCTAAAACGCAGTAAACAAAAGTATTACATAAAGAACGTAATAAATATATACAAAATATATTAACCTTATTATCTAAACTAAATTAAAGTACAATAGTTAACCAATTTCATCGATAGATGGTGGTGTGGCATAAATGTGATACAAAAAGGCAGGTTAAAATTTATTCCTGTAGTTGAGTTTCATATTTGCTTCTAACCTTTATATTAATAACACGCTGCCCTACTGCGTGTTGACAATCTCATTTATTTTTCATTTTTTTACCGCCGAGTACTATATGTGGTAAATCAAATTTTAAGAGCTATTAACAATTTCGTTTTTCGGCGAGGATCAAACTTTCTTTTTTGCTTATTATGCAGGCACTGATTTATAAGTTCTTTTATGTTTTTTATTGTAGCAATCGTGTGAATTAATCTCTTATTTTTAGAATTGATGTTAACAGCGCCATCTCTCTTAAATCTATACACATAATAAAAATGGTAATAACATGTTATGTCTGTTTCTGCATATTGTATAGTATATTAATTTGCGACTAAAATCATTATGGGGACTGTAAATCATTAAATAAGTACATTTTTATAACTTTTAGAATTGTACTATCTGACGGTCTGTCTGTTTGTTTATGGACGCATGACGTTTTGAGTAAACATCTTTTTTTTCAATGAAATCCTTAAGAAAATCATAAAGCGTATTATCAAGTTCATTTAATCTTTGTTTTATTGAAATTGGTTAATTCTATCGAAAGTCATGATTATTATTTTGAAATGTAGGTTCGAATTTGTTTAATGGCGCCACAAAATCCCAGAAATAGTAATAAAAAGATTCGTGTGTAAAAAAAACGTTCTATTATAATATATTTCGTATCGTTCTATTATAGTACTTAAAACACAGTAAAAATATGTTTTCCTTAAATTAAAAAAAGGATGTTTTCTCACAAAGAACGTAATAGATGGCGTTGTACAAATTACAACCTTTTCTGAATTGCGGTGTTAAGATTTTTCGCAGGTGAATCGTATTGAGACTCACTGTAGACTGTAATAATTTATGTCCATGAGCCCGGCGAAGCTACAAGCCTGTAGGGTATATACAGAGGTATTGAAATATTTAATTATTCAACAAAACTCGACTAAAAGTAGCAAAATTGCAATTAATGTCGTGATAGTGATATTTAGAGTAGAGATGAGACATACTTGCAAAATTTAATACCAGGGCTTCTAAGTACGAGTATGGAAAAATACCAGGGTCGAAAACCAGGTTTTAAAAATACTTGAAAGTATTTGTTAATGTCAATATATATATGAATGCCTAATTTGATTCGGGCCAAAATTTATACAGTACATTTTTAAATTTTTTTGGTAACGAAATGAAATCTTTCCTTCCTACTTTTCGGCTTAGGACTCTTAATAAATAAAAATTTTAAAACTGTCTCTAAATTCAATATACACGCGAAATAACTATTTAAAAATTAGGTCACGGTCAGTAGGTTACGTAATCAGTTCACAATAATAATTGAATTTACAAGAAATCGAAACAAAACTTTCACTTCCCCGAATATAAACATAATTCTTATTACTTACTAGCTACTTACGCGACGTGTCCAGCTGCGGTGTCAGTTTGAAAATACTTGCAAAGAGTATAGTAATATATAAGGAAGAATACTTGCATAGGAATTCGACCCGCTTTCCATGTTAGGCTATTATGACTAAGGAGCAAATTCGTATAAATAAAAAAATACTTTCAAGTTCAAAGTATGTTTAATTCACAAATACGATTGAGTTTCTTATTACTATTACGATATGGATCATTTTCCTATGCAAGTATTCTCATACTTGCAAGTATATTTTGGTCGTAAAAGGGCGCCGTACTTTAAAGTTAAAACCTGGTAGCGTAAATACGTCTCTTTGCGACGCGAGGGACGTGTCCAGCCGTGGTGTCAAAATTTGAAAATACTTGCATAGGAATTTCACCCGTATTCCATGTTATCCTACTATGAATAAGGAGCAAAGTCGTATAAATAAAAAAATACTTTGAAGTTCTAAGTATTTTTCGTTAACAAATACGATTGAGTTCCTTACTACTATTGAGATATGGATGATTTTCCTATGCAAGTATTTTCATACTTGCAAGTATTTTTTGCTCGTACCAGGGCGCCGTACTTTGAAGTGAATACCTGGTTTTAAAACCTGGTAGCGTAAATACGTCTCATCTTTAATTTAGAGGGATTCTGGATATTGTTTTATACCCAGAATCCCTCTAATACCAAATAACTTTTTTTCCAGTTTTAAGTAAAGTTGCAGCCTATTTACGTCCCACTGCTGGGCACAGGCCTCCTCTCATTTCTGAGAGGGTTTTAGGGCAAGGAAATGTCCACCGCGCTGCCCCAATACGTGTTGGCGAACTTCACATGTCATCGAAATATTTTTTTTTATTTCTCAAACATGCAGGTTTCCTCACGATGTTTTCCTTCACCGCCGAGCACGTGGTAAATCAGCACTTAAAATTGCAATTAACAATTTCATTGGTGTCGGCGGGGATCGAACCCGGGTTGTTCGAGTACTGTGAAGCTTACAGCGAGCGCTAACCATCTGAGCTACCACGGCTCAGGCTTCAGTTTTAAGATAGGGATAATAACATCGATGTTGGCATCGCTAGCTCAACATCGATGTTCGATGTTTAGGCTACTCAAAACATCGATGTTGACCATTATCGATGGTTTTTGTATATGTGTAGATACTTACACATTGTTTTAAAATTATGTGGGTATACACAGCAAGGGAAAAGTAACAATTAACTTGAATATCAATTTATGTAGAATAGTTATTATGCGACAACCGACAACGACACTACAAAATAAAGCGAAAGCAGTGACCATTGTGACATTACAGGAGACACTTGACAATTAAGTTTGACTCACCATACTGACATGTTTTTAGATTAACGATGCGTTCAGAAATTCTGAATTATTCAAAATTTTTAATCTTCAGAGCAGATGCAAGATTTAGTTGATATTGATTTCGCGAGTTCGCATTGTTTGCAAGTTCCCAATTATCGATTATGGGTTCATTGACGTCGATGTTTCGATGTTTGACATATGTCAACATCGATGTTAAAACATCGAAGTTTTAATTTTTAACATTGATGATCATCTAACATCCCTATTTTAAGTGTGTTTCCCACTCAGCGTGTGTTATGCGACGATCGTAAATAAAGCGCAAGGTCAAACTTTACGCGTCAGTACTGATTGTTTTGCACATGACCAACTCTATATTGCTTTTTCTCGCGTTAGCAGTGCCCGTAACCTTTTTCTGTACGCCCCGGCTAAGTCTACTTCTATCGTCATTTACACAGAAGCTCTATCATAAACGACTTAGAACTTTGAGAATATCGATTTATTTTGTTACCACTTATTCATAGAGTAATGATATAAATCGGTTAATATTCTCTTACCCTAAACGTCAAATTCTTTAAGTAAAACCTATATTCGCGAGCAACGCCGCGGGCACAGCTAGTAATATGAATAAAACAAATGAATTGCTGATTTAGTTACATAAAACGTAAAGTTGCTAAACATAGTAAAGTTATGATCTTAATAAATCTTTGAGAAATTATTTTATACGTGTTAAAAGTATTGATAATGATATTGTGTTAGAGTTGTTAAATCATTAAAAAAAAGAAAGGCAACATTTAACAAACTAATTTTATTAAATTTTTTAGGTGAAGCTTCCATTAGAATGTCCGTTTCATCCTGCGCGTGACATCTTTGCGCCTCAGCACGCGGCCAAGCTGCAGCACCGGTCTTCACAATGGACATGTGCCTTTTGCGGCAAATCTTTCTACGAGGAGCGACACCTCGACACTCACTTCGACCAGCGACACAAGAACCAGATTAACAAGGTTTGTGCGAGATTTTGAAATTTTATATGTTAAATATCTAGTTAATTTTGTTCATTATTAAACTTGTTAAACTTTTAGGCGAAGGCTAATTAAACTTCCTGAATCGGAGTACTGGAAACATTAAGAAGTAAGAAGACCCTTTTTCCATTCCTTATAACATATCAAAAGTTCACTGCTGAACATAGGCCTCCTCCATAGATTGCCTCATAAGGGGGATATTGGATGAAACTGGGTGGTGAGAAAAAAAAGATTTTTTCTCACCACCCAGCTTCATTTGTAATTATATTAAAAATGAAGAAAAACTCTAAATTTCTGTGAGCCTTAAATAAAGCGCAGGTTACACTAGGGGACATTATGTCCCGCAACATGACGCGAGACACTCAATCTAAGTGACGATGCAACGTCGCACCCGCAACATGGCTCCCAAGTTCCAACATTTTACGTGACGTGGGACATGTTGCTTGTTCCCGCTCCGAGAGCGAGCGCACGTGTCCCGCGTCAGGTCGCGCCATTTATTACCGGGTGTAGTTGTGTACGCAACATTTTAGTAGAGTAGGGAAACGAAACTTGAGCTTTACCAGTCATGTTTTGTTGTGGGATAGTTCTAACAACAAACTTCTGGTACTATTCTGCCAATCAGTTGTTTCGACACTCGAAAAGTGTACTACAAAGAAGCATAAGAATCTCCAGTCGACAAAACTATCTTAATGCAATAGCAAGTCTGATATGAGGGCCAACAGCGTGTCGTAGTATTGTACACGTATCCTGTTTGGCTATGGAAGATCCAAAATATTTTTAGAAAGTCGGCAGACATTCGGAAATCACTTAAAATATTAATTCTTCTTTCTTCTCGTCGTAAGTAGTAAGAAATTCCGCATCCACCACTTTCTCTTTCGCTTACGTTTCACTCTCGAAATAAGTACGCTACACTAATCGCCACAACCTTCTCGGGCGACATTTCTATAAGTACTGAATAGTGACTAGTGTGGCCTGTAAATTTTTCCGCAACATATGTCACGGGACATTCCACGTAGTTGTTGAGCGACAAGTTGCGCAACATGCCGCTCCTTTTGTCCCCAAGTATATTCAAGGCTTAATGTAGATATTATCCAAACAACGTAAACACAAATTGGCGATGAAAAACTCTCTTTAAATTTTTATTTCATTTTGTTTTCTTTAATTACATAATTGATTAATAAGGTTTGCTCTTAGGAACAAACTTACTTTGATAGAAAATGAGGTGGGTACAATTTTTAGGTCATAGCGATTCTTATGGTGTATTGTTTGAAATTATGTTTTGTACTTTTTCACAAATATTGGTTTTTGCTCGCATTCAAATTTAGGCCACGAGGTTGATCGGATAGCGGTCGATTAGCGTTCTACATAAAACGATACATATGTATATCCCAACCAATAAGGCAAGTAGGCAAACTTGAAGAAAGACTTGATCTACCCCAGTTAACCAAGAGGAACCCACATAGCTCGACTGATGTGCTAAGGAGGAGAATAGGGGACGGAGAATACTACTTCCAAAAAGGCCACTGATACGTCGCTTATCTTACCCACCGCGGCAGAAACGTGGTCAGCGGCGGAGTTATAGATCAGCACCGCCACCAGTGCCGAAAAAACTGGTCTTTCGAGTACGGGTTTTTCCTGGCCCCGTGGCCTCCGCGTATGTGTTCCAGGTCACAGGGATACTCATAATATAACCAGACCGTAAAACCAAAATTTGTTAAGGCATTCCATCATAGTCCTCAGGGGTGAGAAAGCAACTGCATTTTAATTCTTAATCAATGATAGATGTAGATGTTTATGGGCCATAACATCTACTTACCACCGGGTGAATCGATCACACAACAATCTATAAAAACACATACGAAACTTAGTACACGAAGAAATAAACGTGAGACCCGCCAGGAATTCGTTTCGCGTCTCGTACCAACGCGCCGCGTGCCGCTGACGTCCTCCACTCTCGACGACTCAATATGCTCTAACGTCATCTGAGTCAGGTCATTAGTTAATTTCTGCGCGTATTGGACGAAAATGGTATATAACAACTTGTTTAAATGTGTAACATGTAAAACATTGATCTTATAACCAATAACCAATTACGAAAATGTTGTTCCCAATTTTCTTTATATCTATACAAATAAATAAAATTGAAGTGTCTGTTTGTAATGTCAAAATTACAGCTTTTTACTAAATGCATATGAAAGTATGTATTGTACTAATAACAAAAATACAATTTTTAAAGTTTTTGTCTGTCTGTCTGTCTGTCCGTCTGTCTATCTGTTTGTTCCGGCTAATCTCCGAAATGGCTGGACCGATTTTGACGGGATTTTCACTGGCAGATAGCTAATGTCATAAGGAGTAACTCAGGCTACTTTTATTTTAGAAAAAGAATTAGGGTTCCGCGCAAAAAAAATAAAACCCCAAATAACACGCGGGCGAAGTTGCGGGGAACAGCTAGTTATTTAAATAAGTACATTTAGCAATATGAATCCAAAATCCCTTAAGCTAAATCTCTCAAGTAAAATAAAACAATGCAAATTCTTGCTACAGGCGGAAGACGCAGTGTGCCTGGCAGATTACTGCGATATAATGCGGTGCCAGGTGCTGGTGGCGCACGGGCTCTTGAGCGGTGGCGTTGAGCCGGTGACAGACGTGGAGGTGTGGAGGGATGTTGAGGCGGCGCGGCGGGCTCTAGCGCCGGCTGGAACCCGGGGGTTAGCGAGGGCTCCCCAGCGTCGTCACCAGCGCTCCCGCGCAATTCCCGGGGTTACGCCACCCGCGCCTGACTGCCCAAGACTTGATCCGGATGCCGATGATCCTGGTTTGAATGAAATTAATTACTCTAATTTAGCCTTTATAGCTCTGATAACCGACTGATGACATAAAACCCATTTAGAAAAGTCATATTAAGTGGAACAGTAGAGTATTGGTAGAGCCCTGCTGTAGTTACGAGTAAATGATTGTAGCAGGAATGAGTCGGCTCTACCGGAGAAGGACCTCGCTCTCACAGAATGCCAGCACAAAAACGCGGCTCAATGTTATGTTTGCTGTGTTTCGTATGGTGAGTATAGAGAACCGGAGACCCTTTTTACTGGAAACGAGGCATTGCGTCTTAGTCCTCACGGGTGGCAACGCATTTGCATTCTAAATCGAGCATAGAATGGAGTTGTCTATGGGCCACATACACGTTCGTCGTGTATCACCTTTATGTTATAAAAAAACAGACTGGTGATGGGGAGCAAAACAGCCAACGTAAGGAATATTAGCAACTCTTTTAATTAAAGCATTTCAGCTATGTTTAGAAGTAAGAATACTTTGAAATAAGTGACGATGTGACGATGATGTCAGTAATAAAAATCTTGGGACATTTCCGTATTTAAATAGTCTTCTGTTATGTACGCTGTTGAATATGAACACGTTAATATTATGTGTTTTTTAATTGAACTTGCGTTCACATTAAATAAGAATGTTGATTCCCCACGATAAAAAAGGGGTAATCTCCTTACTAAAATCATTAACATTCATTATTCATTCATTGCAGCCTATCAAAAGTCCACTGCTGAATTTAACATAGTTGCGCATGGCAGGCGGGTTCCGTAGTTATTTATTATTAGATCAGGGTATTGTTATCAGGAAGATAGCTGCCCATCTCCTGTTTCATTACCCGCTGGCATCTCATAGACCAGAAATCCTTGCCATACGCAAATTAAAAGGAAATATATGTATCGGTATATTCCTAATCATTTATCAATCCTAATTAAACAATCCGTAGGTCACTCAATAAGTTTTGAGTATACAAAAAGTATTCTAGATACTATTAATATTTATTTTACATCTTTTCAAAATATTCTCCGTCATGCTCTATACAAAGTTCCGTTCGCCTAAATCAACTCTGAATCGCTTCTTCGTAGGCAGCCACGGCGTCTTCGGCGCTTGAAAAAAACTTGCCTTTTATTTTTTCTTTGACTCTTGGGAACAAAAAGAAATCACAAGGAGCTAAGTCAGGGCTGTAGGGTAGAGTTTCAACACCAGATCCCTCAATAAATGCTTTTGTTCTAAGGGAGGTATGTGAAGACGCGTTATCGTGATGCAGCATGATTCTCCGATGTCCGGTCTTTGGTCTTCTCACTCGCACAGCTTGAAAAGCTTTGGGTAATGCAACTGTAGTATACCATTCAGAATTAACTGACCTACAATTTTCCAGTATTGACGTCGACAAATGTCCGCTCCGCGAAAAAAACTAGCCACCATTGTTTTGCCGACGTTGCGAGGTCTTCGCAGTTTTGTCGGTAACTGTCCTTCTGAGTAGACCCATACCGATGATAGCCTTTTATTTTCCGGATCATATTGATGGATCCATGTCTCGTCACCATTAACGATTTCTGAAACGCGCCTAGATGCCCCGTTTTCAAAACGTACACGCATTTCATGGCACCAATCCACACGAGTCTGTTTTTCGCTTTCGGAGAGCAAACGAGGGATCCGTCGACAACAACGCTTACTCACTTCAAGATGTTGATGTAGGATGGTATGAATGCTCCCCGAACTAATGCCTACAATCTTTTCGATGTCCGTATATATGATTCGTGGGTTTTCTCCCACCAAAATTTCAGTAGTTCATACATTTTCTGGCGTTACTGCTGTTTGCGGGGCCCCGGTTCTTTCGTCATCTTTAAGATTAATTTTACCCCTTTTGAATTCAGCAAACCACCTAAAAATAGTTGCGCGTGATGGAGCTGAGTCCCCTAATGCTGATTGTTCGTTGTAAACTTAATTGTTCGGTTAAACCAAATTTAAAATCATGATATATCATAACGCGCAAATGTTCACGGTTAAGATCCATCGTTTTAAATGAAAAGCGCGGGAAGCGTTGCAGGAAAATTAATAGAGCTGTGTTTTTTTTAATATTGAGCAATTGGCTTATGGAGTTCTATTTTTAAATAAATTTGCTTTTTGGAAACATATAACACGGGCGCGTTTCATTTTAAATTTCAAGCATCTCAAAACTTATTGAGTGACCTACGTATAACTCTTCCAAATACGGTCAGACCTAAGTTCTGCAAGACCCGACGCAGAATAACCCAAAAATTCTTCAACCACAATCTTTTCATAGCTATTGGCATGTCTTCTCATAGCGCTATGCTGTATAACTATATAAAAGATTGTTAATTAATGTATCTATATATTCATTTAATTGAAGAAGTTGAAGAAAAAAGAAGAGAAGACAGTGATGGCGATACAAATCAAACGGCAGAATTGTGCGACGCCGATATGGTAGAGTCATCTTTGCCACCAGACAGTCGACAAAAGAGATTAGCAGACTTGCAAGCGGAGCGCGCGGCGTGCGATCCCGCAAGATTACAGGGTCTTAAGGTACATTTAATGGTAAAAGTAAAGTAAAGTAACAGGCAAGATACGAGTGCATACGTGAACTACGTTATAACAGAATCGCTCGGTGACAGCAACAACTTGAATATATAGTCGGATCAGTCGCTCGACCGATCTGCATGTTGTATGAGGGAGAGCGGCCTTTGTTGGTAAACAAATCCGAAACAACACAACCGTTATTATTGTAAATCTTAAGTTTAAAAAGAAGTAAATTGCAATAATGTGATGAAAAATTACTTATATGAAAGGTAACGCCTGATCTTTTCTAGTTAGTCTACATACGTGAGCACAGAGGGTTATTTTATCCTGATTTGGTGTGAATTGCCAAACCGTTCGACTCTTTCTTATGTAGGTACGTAGACATAACATGGAGTCGAACTGTTTGCCAATACTAATACAGTATACGTGTACTGATCCTCATTTTGAGTTTTTTCACCGCTGGTCAACAGGTTCACAGTGGTAAATCACTTATGTAAATGACATGACAGTGAAAATTGGCAATTAACAATTTCAGAAGTGGCAACCGAATTTTGCTATTTTAGCCATCTGTGCAGGACTAAATAAGCAAGCGTCCATCCCAGAGTTTCCACAGCTTAAGTTTCAAGTTTATTTTAATACATTGATTTTACGTCGTTCTACCATTACTACGATGACGTAACTCGATATATTTAAATTTAATAATATAAATCGGGCGAGACCAAAACCTATATTATTAATATACATACCATTATGTAATTAATTACTAAGCAACAGGGCAATGAAAAAACAATAATCAGATTTGTCTATTTTTAATGATTTTTTCCTTTTCGTATATCGTTTGATATAGACCCCATATAACACCACACGTCCCTCGTTGGTCTAGTGGTTGTAGTAGTGCGGCTGCTGATCATGAGGTCCTGTGTTCGAATTCCAGTTCGGGCCAAAAAATCAATTATTGAGTTTTTCCGTCAAGAAATTTTCAGTAGCTGCCCGGAATCAGGAAATTGGCGGTGTCTCACCCAAGTGCCTCGGAGAGCACGCAATATGCGCAGCCTTTGGTCCTGCGCCTGATATCTATCCGGTTGTGTTGGTTTACCGTCCCATCGGATTATGAGAGTGAGGGAATAGAGAGTGCACCTGTCCTGCGCCGATGGCTAGTCTCCGTTGAGGCTGGCCACCGTGACCGAAATTTGGTCTGGAGGACATTATTATTATATGATCATCATCACAATTCACAAACCAATTTGGCTAGTTTATCTGTTTCGCGATAGAATTTATTGACCTTAATATAAGCAATATTTCTTAGTATGAAACATATTTGCTTGATTTATAGCGTCTTACTTCTGTTACTCGTACCCGACTCGAAGGACCGTCATTATGTAAATTTAAAAAGATATCAACCTAATGATGCACCGCAAATCAATTTCCGTTGCTTACGTGTTAGAATTATACTGCAGCTATTTATTTATAGCTGAAGCACGAATGGGTCGGTTTGACCCCGGTAGGACCACACTCTTACAGAATACCAGCATGAGACGGCGGAATAATGCTGTATTTCGTACCGTGAGGGTAGAGAACCGGAGACCCTTTTACTGGTATGACGCACTCCATCTTAATCCTCACTGGTAACAAGGTATCAGAGATTGTTATATATGAATGATATATACGAGTATGTAGATGTTTATAGGCCACAACATTCACTTACCATCAGGAGAATTGTGTGCTTGTTTGTCACCCTTATTCTATAAAAAAAACTTCCACGATTGGTAGGTAAATTGTTTAATGCAGTTGAAATCTCTATACGGGATAAATATTTACATGAGATGAGTTTGTTATATACATGAAATATATATAGTATAGGTATGGGAGGTCAGCAAATATTTCTAAATGCTCGGAGAGTGCTCTGAGGAATTGTTCGGATTAATTCCAGCTGCCAAATTTCACGAACGCACATCGCGTCAAAATTCACGATACCATCCTCACCATCTGAATGCTTGGCGATCCACGAAGGTGCGTTTAACTAGTAGTTTTCTTCCTCGTTCAACTTGTTTAACACCGGCGATTTTTCCGGACGACTTAGGGACCTTCAAGAAAAGAGCTTACACCTTTCTAAAAGGCCGGCAACGCATCTGCAATTCCCCTGGTGTTGCGGTTGTTCATGAGCGGTGGTAGTCACTTTGAGCCGCATGCTCGTTTGCCCCATCTACTATTAAAAAGCTCACGTAACTGAGTTAACTACACCCTCACCAAACGTAAAAACGATGGCCCAGAATGTCGTAGTCGTAGTAAACGTTTCACGTTTTGGACAATAGTTTCTACGTTTCTAGTTTCTACTATTAGATGTTGTGAAACAACTCGGCTAACAATAATTAATAAAAAGGCCAATAATTTAAAAGGTACTTAATGATAAATCAGAAAAAAAACATTTTAACGATAAATTGTTTTTGTAACGTGTGTGAAAGGTTATCTCTTGAGTTCCACCTATTGTTACTAAGAAACAAAAATGTTATCAATTTACGATAGTTTACGCATAGGTAAAGCCGCGTTGACACGACCAGAGTATGCTCGGACCAATGCTCGTAGGAGTAGTTTCTTACGAGTGCATTAGACTGGGATATCTGTGGATATTATCATAGTTCACTTGGATCACTTCTTCACTCTTATTATATCAATTTTTGCTTTCTCCTGGATGACAGTGATATCAAAAAACTAAAACTTCGCATTAGACGCTGCACGGTCGCGTTCCTGGGGGTCTTATATTTGTATTCCTTTAACCTCACATTCCAGAGAACTTCTTTTGCTTCGTACAGTTCTACAAATCTAGTTGTGTCACGTTCAGACCACCTTTTCTCTTCTCTTTTTTTCCACAAGTCGTATACGAGCTAGCTCGGAACAGCTAGCGATGCGAGTGTACACTCTCTGCACAGATGGGATACCGTCGTCCGAGTGTGCTCGGATTATGGGTTGCCACAATACGAGTTACGTCCGAGTAGGTATCGGTCCGAGCAGACTCTGATCGTGTCAACGCGGCTTAAAACTTGTGTAAGAATAATGATTAATAATTGTTTTCGATCTGTAATACATTGTAATACGTACGTAATACGTTACCAAGAATGTTGTACATTCGTAGGGAACCTATGATTTAAGCAACTGCTGAAGCTTGGCTTGACTGACTTGTCTGTCGCGCGACTTAATCATGTTGTGGTCCTGGATTCGAATCCTAGGTCGGGCCAAAAATCAGCTATTGAGTTTTTATGTCTCATTAGCAGAGTCAGGAAGTTGGCGGTATTTCTCTCCCCGGTCGTGTCGACTTATCGTCCCATCAGACTATGAGAGTGACGAAATAGAGAGTGCACTTTTGCTTGCGCATATTCTTGGGCACTATAATCCTAGCCTGTACAGATGGCTAGTCTCTGTTGAGACTTGACACTCGTACACATCTCAATTCCGACAACCACCAACGTCATTTGACCGAATGTCACTGAACCGAACATCGCCTTTTCACATTTATGTGAACAGACACAGGAGTATATCTAACATATTTTTAATATCATGATTACATAACATAATTACTTTTTATTTCTAATCAGAATTTATGTTTTTACAAGGTGCGGTGTGAAAGAGTTGTTCATTCTTGCATTGCAACGCTTCTACTGCATCTGACACAACATCAATTCACAGAATTGGAAGGTATTAGTTATTATATTAATTATTATATTTAAACAAACATGCTTATGTTGGAAGTTATGAACTTCCATGACAACAATAAAAAATTTAACCATGTGCTCTATTAGCTTTTCATTCATTAATTTATTAGTATATCAAATGTCCACTGCTGAACATAGGCCTCCCCCATAGATAGGCCTTATAGGGTGGATTTCACCATAGTTGCTAAACTTTGCAGGCTGTTTGGCACAATTGCAGTTTTTTTTATTATTTTCGGTCGTTATCATGAATTGCTGCTGGCCATCTCCTGTTTCAGTTTCTTCCTGTCGCCTCTAACGACAGGGATATGGGGTAGTGGATATTCTTACGTCGCCATTACACAGAGAAAGTATTTATCATCTATTAGCTTAAATGTTCCTATATATTAAGCTAGTTGTTGATAGTCTCGGGTATAAAGAAGAGTCTTTATCAGGAAAGAAGTCGAGTGAGAAGTAGAGCTGTTTTTACACCACCACGCTTAGTGGCACGAACGTGTCACGTTCTTCGCGAAATTTGACACTTTTCACATAGAATACAAGCGAGCACACAGCCCACCTGATCGTAATTGGATGATGTGGCAAATAAACATCCACATCTATCCTCGATTAAGAACCAAAATCCAGATGCGTTGTCACTCCTGGCGATTAAGATGAAATGCCTCGTATTCAGTACAAAGGGTCTCCAATTCTCTACACTTACTATACGCAACACAGCAATATTGGACTGCTATTTTAGGCTTTAAGTATCGTGGTATGATTCTGTTCCTGTAATTCTTATATAGACTAAATAAAAAAAATACATACTTCGGAAAAAACTAAATGAAATTCAATTTAACAGAGAAACTTACGAGGTTGTGTAACCGCCACACGTTCAAAGATAAAGTCGAGGATGACAATGTTGCCAGATGTAGTAAAAATAGGTATTTTATACAATGGCCAACACACACGGTCAGTTAACTGATGTGAAATCTTGAAACTTTTGAAACGTGAAGCTGAAATCTTAAGTTGAATTTTTTTACTGACGGCAACCCAGTGACCAGTCAGTTAGATAAGTTGAACTGACGTACATCCAAAAACTGTCCGTGAGTGTGAAATCTTAAATTGAAATTTAAAGTCAGTGAGTGGGGAAATCGTTTTGGCTTACATCCGTCTTAACTGATCAATTAAACTGGTCAGTTCAACTGATCAGTTCAACTAATCAGTTCAACTGATCAGTTTAACTGACCGTGTGACACACACCCATAAGAATAACATTTTTAAGTTCCTTAGTAATATGATGGTGCCCCTATCGGATCGGACCGGTGTTTTCACATGTATGTATGTACGTTATACTTGATACAGAGGAGATGCAGCGCACTGTGTGCTGGTACTTGAGCTGCGACCGGTACTGGGAGGACGCGGCGCCGGGCGCACGGCTGTTCCCCTGGCCACTGCTGCTGGCGCTCGCCACCGGACTCGCGCTCGCGCTCTGCATGTGCTACTATATCATCTGGATCGTCTTCGAGTACATTTATTGACATATATCTTTATATAAGTATTATAATCGTTAGTCCTAGTCGCTAGTTGACACTGAGGTAAAGTTTTGTGTTACACAAATCATTTAATTGAGATGTTGGTTTTAAATAAAACGTTATCAATTTCTAAAGTAAAGACAAAAAACAAAAAAACAATGCCTCAATTTTTCACTGTTTTAAATTTTTCTATTTTCATTAATATCTGTGTTTTGGTTTTATTTATTTTAAATCTAATTAATATAAAATCTAATAATAGTACAGAAAGACACCTTTACGTTTTTCGAAGAAATTAACTTGCCCGCCATGAAATGTGTCAAATATTACACCTCATTTTTAAGTGGCACCGCCCTGGTGGTAGAAAAAGTCGTGGATGAAGTTCTCATTGGTGCATCTGTTACTGTTAGCGATCGTGTAACTTTTGAACTAATTGACAAATTGAGTTCACACGATATATTTGTTTTGTCAAGACTATAATTCATAGATTCGCTAGGATACTATTAGAATAACGATGTATTCAAGTTATTATCAATTTATATATTAATCGTATAGTGATAAAGAAAATAAAATATCTAGACCCGATAGGTGGCACTATGGTCAACTTATTATCACATTTTATAGTTATACTAGCTCGCCAGGCAGACGTTGTTCTGCCCTTTCCGACGACCTTTCCTATAAAAATCCTTAAATTCGCAATAAAAAAATTTGAGGGTCATTTAGCGGGATAAAAATTATCCTACCTTTCAAGTTGGACCAGAATGAACACAGTGTGCAAAATTTCATTGAAATCAGTTCAGTAGTTTAGGAGTCCATCGCAGATAAACAACGTGACACGTCATTTTATATATAAAGATATACGGTAAAAGTATGTATGCCAAGCCGTGCCTAATCAGATGAATGGTGTAGGAACGTTTAGATAACGAACATATTGAACATACCAACAAATATACTTATAACATGGGAGAACTATATACATAGGTTAAGAATCAAAATGCTGCGTGGTCACCCCAACATTACACTTATAAACATTTTATTTGCGTTAGATTTCTTTATAGTATACGGGCGACGAACAAGCACACAGTCCACCTGATGGTAAATGGTTGCTGAGGCCCATAGACATTTAAATCTATCCTCGATTACGAATCAAAATGCAGATGCGTTGTCACCCGTGAGGACTAAGATGGAATGCCTCGTTTCCAGTAATAAGGGTCTCCGGTTCTCAACACTCATATACGAAACACATCAGCGTTAAGCTGCTATTTTACGCTGGTTTTCTGTGAGAGCGTGGTCCTTCCCCGGTCGAGCCGACCCATTCGTGCTACAACTATACTACTAATATAGCTGCAGTTTGGCTCTACCACGTACAAGTTTACTATCGTGTTGCACTGGCTGGTTCCGTTTTTCAGTGAACCTTTAAGGACTCATGGATAAGTATAATGACAGGAACAGTATTGTTAAGGCGTTTAAGTGGGAATGTTTCGTAGTTCAGAGGAGGGTAGCGTGGCGGGCAGCGCGTCGGTGTCGATGACGACGCACTCGTCGCCGACGCGCGGCGAGCGGATGCCGGGCGACGACGCGCTCGACGACGAGCACGACGACCACTACATCTACGTCACCTACCCGCCAGAGCTCAAACGTCGCCTGCTCGAGAGGTACGCCAACCACCGATTAACACTTATCATACTCGCGCCATTTTTGCGACAGACGCGAGTTGACTAAGCGAAACAGTAAATCTTACATATTATAAATTAGCTGTTCCCTGTGACTTCGTCTGCGTAGATTTTATTACGATTGAATTTTATGATTTTTTTTTATATAAGTAACCTAAGTTACTTCTCATACCCATAGCTGTCTGCCAGTGAAAGTCCCGTCAAAATCCGTTCAGCCGTTTCGGAGATTAGCCGGAACAAACAGCCAGACAAACAAAAATCTTAAAAAAATGTATTTTTGTTATAAGTACCGTATATACTTTCATATGCATTTAGTGAAAAGCTGTTATTTTGACATTACAAACAGATATCAATTTTATTTATTTGTATAGATGTGAATGTGTGTTTGATCAGATGTTTGACTTTGACCTTTCCACCACGTTTCAACTACTGTACAGATTTAAAATGAAATTTCGCATAGAAGTCGATTATGTCATGGAATAGGACATAGAATACTTTTTATAAAAATTAATAGAATTATAGCCAACGATCTCTAAAAACTAAGAGTTCGTTAGTTATAGCTGTTACAGCACCTCAGAGATTAATTTAGGCCCAGCGAAGCGGACGGGTAGCTAGAAGTGTTACTTGTTTACATTCTAAGGGCTAGTACACACGAGCAGCAATTCTCTATAGCAACTTTTTTATCTTTGTCGCTGTCTCTACGGCGACAACTGGACGATGCGTAGACGGGATCGACAGCAATGCGACTTTTTCGTTAAATTTGGCCGAATTCATTAACATGGATTTTAAAGATATCGTTTATCTGTGCTTATCTTCTAAATAAAAAGTTACGGTGCTGCGATACAGTGTGGCAGAAAATTTAAAAAATAAAGTAGTTTTAAGGATTTCGTACTTCAAAGGGGAAAATTGACCCTTAAAGAATCACTTCGTTGTCTGTCTGTCTAAGATGGACATTATGGATTTCATACTATAGTAGCGTATAATTATGCGAAAAGTTCCGTGAAACGTGCGTTAGTAATACGACGGCTGGCAGGCTACTTTTTTGTAGCCGTGCGCGCATTTCTATTTGAAGTTCAAATTCAAATTTTGAACCAATAGATGCGGTAAAAGTTGCTTTACCGACCTGTTAATGAATGTTGCAAAATTTAACGAATTTTTCGAAATTTTGCTTTACTGTCGCTTCCGTCTGTGCATCGTCCAATTCTCGCCATAGAGACAGCGACACAGAAAAGTTGCTTTTGAGAATAGTTGCTCGTGCGTGCTAGTCCTAAGACATTACTTTTACTTAACTGTAATTAATGTAAGGAAAATTAATTGATTTACAATATAATTAACTTCAAAATTTTGTTTTTACAATATATTAACTTCACTGCAATGCAGCTACTCGTACATATTTAATAATGCAGGTAATAGATAGAAAATCCACTATTACTAGGTACTAACTTATGTGTTATTTTTATACGCGCGCGCGGTGCGTGCGTGCGTGCGTGCGTGCGTGCGTGCGTGCGTGCGTGCGTGCGTGCGTGCGTGTGTGTGTGTGCGTGTGCGTGTGCGTGTGCGTGTGTGTGTGTGTGTGTGTGTGTGTGTGTGTGTGTGTGTGTGTGTGTGTGAACTTTTTAATTTTTAAAATGCTTACGCTATTTATTGTATTTTAGAATAAGTCGTAGGTATCTTATATAACTCCACTAACCAATTTTCGTAATAGTGTTCCAGTATATTCCATATTCATATAGATACATATTCCATAGTAGTCCACGAATTTCATGAAGTGTGTCAATTTAGTTTTTGTTTTATATTAAACATTAATATTGTTTATAGAAAATAACGAAGTTTATTTATTGTTTTAGCTGCTACAATAGAACAACTCGACTTTGAAATCAAACATGTCGTCCTGTGGCGTCGTGCATGAGTTGAAATGTTTTTAAAACGTAGAAAATAGAAACAACTGAGTCAGTCTGATTTAGCCAAATGTACTACTACCCATATGTGTGGGACTGTTCCTTATATCGATAGCAATGTATGTACATGTTTTAAATATAAAGAATGGCGCCTGTAAAAATTATATATAAAAAAGTAGTTTGTAAATATTTCCTAGTGCTTCCTGCGTTTACTGTTTCTTTTAAAAGTTATTTTATGCTCGTTTATTATTAGTTAAGCAAATAAAAACAAAATAGACATAAAACTATATTTGCGTATAAATACAGGATTATATTTCAAAGAGTAGCCAAATAAACTTAAGTTCAAATATATAAATAATGATATACCTACCGTCATTGTAGTTTTTGAAAATACGAGTAAATAAAGCTTCTAATTTTATTAACAATTATTCCAAATTGAATGTGATTGTGTGACGGGCAACAAAGATTTTATCTATGTGTGTGCGCAGTAAAATCAGTTAAAATAATACATTACCACGCATTTTGAATTTAAAAGACAAAAAGGACGGAATGTTTTAGAATTTTTTAATTAATTTTTCTTCACCATTTGCCTATATTACTTATTCTTGGAAGTAATATTTTTGATGGGACTACCCTAAAATCCGTTTTTAGTGGGAGTCTACATTGCAAAATGAGTAACTATACTAAAATTTCAAGTCAATCAATCGGGTGTACAGTTTTAGAAATCTCGTGACGAGTCAGTCAGACAGTGGTATTTCGCTTATATATATATATATATATATATATATATATATATATATATATATATATATATATATACGTTTAAGGACGTTTAAGGCCCGCCACATACATACGGAATCCCGTTTCGAGATTCCGTTTCGGAATTCTGAACGGTCGGCCACACACAAACGGAATCCCGTTTTGCCCGCAAAATATCGAACGGAAAACTACCGTACGTGTGTGGCGGGTCATAGATTTTATATGGACTTGCTGCGTTCGGGATTCCGAATCGGAATATCGAAACGGAATTCGGTATGTATGTGGCCGGCCTTACATTCCGTTCATGTAAAAATCTTTTCCTTTAGGTATACCTGCCACTACCACATGGTGATTTAAATTTATTATTTTAAATAAGATTATATCTTTGCTAAATAATTAAAGTTTAACTTTTTTAATACACGTGAGAAATATGTCCAAAGATTTATTCCATATAATATTTTTGTTTTTCTTTATGAAACAAATATGAGATTTTAGTACTTTAATGTATTATTCTTTTACGGGATATAAAAAATATTTTTTAGTTTTATACTTGAAAATCTTATTATCGAATTAATTATTGTATTCAATTCTTATTTTATATTACCTTTTTTTTAATTTTACGAAAACTTATAATTATGTACAATAAAGCTTAATTAGATAAATTAAATGCTATCATGAAAAAAAATTAAATAAAAATTACGGTACACGAATAACTAATAACAATATCACTTCATATTTTCATAGCTCATGGTGCACATAATCGCTTTCGATATAAGGTACAGTATAGAAATTGGTTTTATATTAAACATTTTTAGCACTTTCGTCAAATAGAAACTGTAATGATTAGAAACCAACATCTACCAACGAAACCTTTCTTATCTTTGGATTCTTTTTAATCTAGTCAATAGATATAGTTATGTTTAGAAGTACGAGTAGTTTGCTTAGAACAATTCAGGTGCCTATGTATATGAAATGTTATTTAGTTTACTTGTATTTTTTAGATATTGTGTTCCTTTAAAAAAAATAGTCTGCTTAATTAATTAAAAAGTAAACACGCCATGAAAGTACATAATAGTGATACGTTTATAATATGCGCCATTGTAACAAAATAGTGTATCAGAGCTACAAATATATTTATTAGTATTAGTTCTATCCCATAATAAAAAATGCATGTGTGAGTGTCGTGGAACACTCGGTTGGAACGAAGTTCCTTTCGTGCTGTTAAACATTACTAATATTCCCTTAAACCACTTCTGGTAAGCTTAAAATGCTTGTCTTAGAAGTGGTTCCCGACAGCCAGTAGTCGAATGGCGGATTCGAACCCACGACCTTTGGAGTTCGCGGTCCGCGCCCTGCAATTAGGCTACTAACGCTTCTAATATATTATTATTGATAAACGTATTATATGATTAAATAACAAATACAAATATATGAATTACTAGCGTCTATTAAAATGAAGCTTCGTTTAAAATAATATATTTCTTTCATGGCATGATAAGAAAAAGTGCGAGGGAGATGGATGTTATTCCATCTCGATTCCTTATAGCCGCCAACACTACGTCAGAAGGGGTCGTGACGGAAATATCTTACACTTTTTCTCGCCTAGCCCTCATCCGCCAAATTCGTACCGTCCGATAAAGAACGTCGTTCCAAAAATCTAATAAGCAAACACATACAGAGAGTTCTATAATATAGTCTATATGATACGCCACAATACTTTTTTCCCGAGTATTAAGCATACGAGCATACGTCGCCATACGATGGTCTGATGGGGGGAGGGGGGGGGGGGGTAGTTATATAGAGAATGGGAAAGTGTAGGTACAAGAATACATGAAGCTTTACACTTCTATTGCAAGTCTTACTTCTACGGCGATTGTATTAAGAACGGTACAAATTCCATTGTGTAACACTCTACGAGCTCTAGGCTGTACAATAAATAAGACTAGTTGATTTGCATTTGAATACATGTTTTTGTGCCTCAAGGTGGGGGACAGTTGCCCCCCCCCCCTGCCGACGCCTTTGCATACGAGTGTAATTTAAGCAGTCCGAAGCTACTTGTATGATTTCCCAATAAGATGTTTAATTTAAAAACAACAGGTTAAACCTGGCAAATCATAATTGTTGGGATAAAATATTGTCATTTATTTTATTAATATATGTTGTGAGTAAAAGCACAAATTATACATGTTATATGTTAAGATGTAGTAATTATTTTTAATATTAACGAAAGCAAAGGTTTAAAAGAATTATATTCAAAATATATCTAACATTATATATTACTTTTTTACACAGTTACATCTTGATATTTGGATATTTCGAGTTAAATAGTTGTTGAAATCCTATAACCATTTCAAACATATATGTACGTGGTAGCGCCATGCTGCGATACGAGGGTGACACTGAAAGTTCTTAGAAAATCAAAAACTGAACAAACTAGCAAGTTATTAGTGTTATTATATCTTTTCAAAATAGTGTCCTATTACATCAATACATCGCTGCATCCGATGGAACCCCTGAGAAAAGCACTTTGCGCACTCGTCCTTAGGGGTCTCTTCGACGGCATTTTAAAACGCAGCCACTGCTTCCTCGGCGTCCATAAAACGTTTTCCTCGAAGTTTTTCATTTTCGGAAATAAATAATAATCGCGAGGTCGGGCCTATAAGGCGGGTGATCCAGTAATTCCACGTCTGACGTCGCCAAGTAGTCGATTGTTTGGATTGGCGGTGTGCGACGAGGCGTTGTCGTGGTGAAGGAGGATCATACTGCACGGTCGTTTCTCCCGAACTTTTTCCTAGACAAGTGGCAAACAATTGTTAATGTACCACTCTGTAGTAACTGTTTTTCGATCCTCAAAAAAAATTTTGCGTAATGACCTACCCTTCCGAAGAACGAGGCCACCATCTTTATTCTCACTCTTCGACCTCTCTTCACTTTAGTTGGCAGCTCTTCGGAAGGAAACACCCAGACAGTAGACTGTCTCTTAGTTTCAGGATCATAACAATAAATCCAGCTTTTGCAGCCGTAGGTAGGTCGAACACAGCATTTAAGTCACTTCCGTTAAATCTTTGATCCATTTTACGACATCAATCAACACGACGGAGTTTTTGGTCCTCTGTCAAATTATGAGGTATCCTCCGGGCACAAAGCTTCCTGACCGCTAAATGTTCATGGAGGATTTTGTGCACTTGACTCATACCGATGCCTAAGCTTGTCCAAATATGCTGATAAGTCACTCTTTTGTCAGTCTCTATCATACGCCACACAACACTGATGTTATCTTCAGTCGTCGCCGTAGAAGGCCGTCCCTCACGCAGATCATCGGTGAGATTAGTGCGACCACGTTTAAACTCATTAAACCAGCTGTAAACAGTGGCACGAGATAGGGCTTCATCGTGAAAGGCCAATCGAAGTCTATCTTAACTTTCTTGTTGACTTAAATGACATCGAAAGTCATAAAAAATCATTGTACATATTGCCGCATTGCAAGAGTTTTAATCTTCCAATTTTCATTTAATGCTGTGACTTGCGATACATTAGGGCAAATGGACAGATGAAATTTTAAGCGTCCCTTGTCCTTAATAGTGAAATACGAGAAATGAGAAAGTTACAAAAATACCCTTAAAGCACAGAAGAATATGTGAATTTCGCACAATGAGACCTGGTTAAGTGCAATCTCAAGGTACCAGTAATATATCTCGCGTAATAGTCTCGTAGATCTAGTTGTCGTGAGCGCGACTGCTGGTCATGTTTGGAATCCCGAATCGGGTCAAAAATAGTTTTAGGTTTTTTTGTCGAGAAATTCTCACAAAGAAATTCGCACCTCCGTGCCTCGGAAAACGCGTAAAGCCGTTGGTTCTGCACCTGACCTTTCCTCGGTCGTGTGGCATTGCCGTCCCATCGGACTATGAGAGTGATAGTGAGTGTACTTTCTAGTCCCTCACTCTGCCTGTGCTTGAGTGCACACTTGATCAATATAATCCTCCCCTGCGTGCGCAGATGAGGTCTCAACTAGTCTCCGTTGAGACTGGCCGACGTAACCTGAATTCCATCTGGAGGATTCGCTTATTCTTTCTCGCTTATTAATGTTTCTCATTTAACCCGTCTACTAGATACCAATTTGGAATGGAAGGGGTGCAGTCATTATAATTATATGAAATGTAAAGACTATGCCTATAAAATGGTATCTGTTCGTATATTCTTAATTATAGAGATAATTAATGCTGATTATCCCACTTATCCATGATGAAATTTAAGTCATTGGATGTCTATGACTTCAATTTCATTATACTTCAATTGAGGAATATTTTATAGTAAAAGAAATGAGTAACGGCGCAGCAAAAAGTTACAAAAATGAGGAAAAAATAAGCAAAGTACCAAGACGTTGCGGTCTCTGGCAGGTGTTGCTTTTACAATTTATTGGTGTGTATGTTTATTTTGTTTTATTAATTACTAGCTGATACCTGCGACTTCGTCCGCGTTGCTTTATACTTAGGTTATAAGTTCTGTCAAAAACTTTTTATAAAATTAATGATACACTTTTTGATAATTATATAGAAATTATATATGAAATGAAAGGTAATTTAATTTAGAATACAATTTTATTTACATTATCCAAAATACCCTCCCCTATTTTGAATACGTGCCCTTAATCGACGCGCCCAATCATCAATCGCAGCACCCACCACATTCATGTCTATTTCTGCCACTGCTTTAGCCAAAGATGTTCGGAGAGATTCCAAATTCTGATGAGGTATAGAGCAGACTTTCTCCTCCAAATGTTGCCACATCTTGTAATCCAGTGGGTGTAAATCTGGACTAGAAAAGGGCCAGTCTTCATGTCCGATAAAGTCAATTCCATGGGCGGTCAACCAGTTTTGCGTGCTTCGTGCCCTATGAGCTGGTGCAGAGTCCTGTTGGAATATCCAATGTCTGTTTTTGAACATTGTTTGAGAAAGAGGTCCCACTATGTTTGTTAGGATGGTATTTTGGTACACCTCAGCACTGGTTTTTACACCTTTTTCACAGAAAAACACTTCAGTTAAGCCTGAATATGAGACTCTAAGCCAAATCATGAGTGACGAAGGATAATGTCCTCGTTGAACCCTCGGAATACGCGTGCAGGCTTCTTCACTGCTGTGGGCATACACCTTATCATTTAGATTGTTATAACTTTAAAAAAATTTCATCCGAAAACAAAATTTCGCGGCATTTTTTCCCGCGTACCGCCATAACAAAGCGCGGGATATATCCAGTCAAATTTTTTTCAAACGCTCGTTCAAAAAATGTCCGGTCTTCTTACGATAAGCTCGTAGTCTTAGGTCTTCATTGATCACTCTTTTGACCGTGGTTCTGCTTAATCCCATCTGAAGAGCTAAGATTTTTTGTTTACGAACAGGATTTTGTTGGATTCACACCTTCACTGCTTTGATGATCACGGTGTCCTAACTGTACGAGGTCGGCCGGTCTTCTTAAGATCTTCGAAGCTTGAATCTTCAGTGAATCATTTGATAGTGCGATAAACAAATCGCAGGGTTATTTTCAATTTTTGTAGAATATTGAAAATATCTTTTAGCGCGTAACCACAGCGGTGCAACGCGATAACCGCTACTCTACTTCTTTCTTCGACCACTCCATATTTTTTATAGGATAGGGTGACAAACGAGCACACAGTCCAACTAATGGTAAGTGTTTGCTGTGACCCATAGACATCTAAATTTATCCTCAGTAAAGTATCAAAATGCAGATGCGTCGGCACCCGTGAGGATTAAGATGGATGCCTCTTTTCCAGTAAAACGGGTCTCCGGTTCTCTACACTCACCATACGAAACACAGCAGTGTCAAGCTGCTATTTTACGCTGGAATTCTGTGAGAGCGTGGTCCTTACCCGGTCGAGCCGACCCATTCGTGCTACAACTATACTACTAATATAGCTGCAATGCTGCATGGCTCTACCACTTATAACTATTTGAAAATGAATGAAAATTAATGTCTTTTTTATTTTCGGCAACCGCAAACTTGTTATATTTTTAAAATTGGTGAAGTTCATATAGCCAGTATTCAAAAATTATAAATAATAAGATTTTGACAGAACTTGTGACCCGACTAAGTATATTAACAACGTTTTCGCTTATAAAAATCGTTATTTCTTAAAACTTTAATAGCTTTATATCAAATGAAGATATCGCAATAAATATCTATAATCTTAATTTAAAAGGATGTAACTATTTCAATTTGTATGTAGAGGTATCTGTCGAATAAAATCTAAACAATGTATTAAGCACGATTCAGACTTACAGAGGTCCATTGGTTTTACTTATAAGTGTACTTAAAGAGGTCCTATATTGGTGTAAAGATGTGGGGTTTTTAAATTTTAGATAAAGATGTTTCTCACTTAAGGTTTCATTGTAATATTCTATTTAAATGGAACAATTATATTAAGTACTTGAAAAGGCATAAATAATGTTCTAATACCTCCGACAAAGTAAAATATTGAAAATCTGTGTAATATGATAAATAAGTATTGGTGAATAAGATATACGAAATGGTCACTGGCCATAATACTATGTAGAAAATGTAGTAAAATTGACGCATACAAAAAATGTTTGATTCAAGCTTTATCGTTATCAAATTAGTGACATGCAAAATAATGTTTCAATATTGATAACGGCATTCTGTGATTTTATTTGTTGCTGAGTTGTTACATAGTAAGCTTATTTTAATTTTATTGGTAAATAGTATGTATGGTGTTAGTACACGCGTGGGACTAAATGTGTAATGATTTATTGTCTATTTTTACCACAGATAGATAATCTTTAAGATATTTTCGTGGTGCATATTATTACCGTTTTTTACATTTGTGGTTTTAATGCAGAATTCACATATAAAAATTAATGTACTGACTACTGACCTATTAAAAATTATATAAAGTTCAACTAAATCACAATTGTTGTAAAAATTGACAAAACTGCAACAAAACTTTGTCTAAAGATTGTAACACATTACGATTTATATTTTATTAAAAAAAATATGCATTTCAATAAATTCTTAGGTTGGTGCTGATTAAAATTGTATTATTTGCATTGTATGTGATTGATTTGTCGCAAATAAAAATATAGATCGCAAGTTCGAAAACGCACTGGCGGGAAAAATTAGAATTAATCCTTTAGAAGGTATTACATTTAATGGAACATGTTTATATAAATATTTCTTAAATTATTTACACTACCCAACAAAAGAAATATTTCCTATATATGTTATTTGAATAAAAGAATTTCATTGCATCGAATTATTACTTAAGTAAATTGCGTTTCGACATATATTTTTAAATGTTATTAAATTCTACGGAGAAAATGTTTGACACACAAAATAGAAGCAAAAAGCAATATTGTGCATTATGCGTAAGCATTTTTTGACAGATTATGAAATTTCCCGAAAAAAAATATAAGCTTTGAGTGGTTCTGCGAGTAGAATTAGTTTCCCCATAAAATAATTACAGCTTTTCATAATGCTTTATAAAATTGGACTGCCTATGGTTAAGTAAGATAATTAAATATTTTTGCAATTGTAAAATTCACTAGTCTATCGTAAGCACACGCACATTATGTCTTATTTGAGAAAATACATATAAGAGATTTGTTAAATAAACGGAATGAAATCTTAAAAATAGTTTTATTTCATATAATGACGTTAATGGTTTACTTCAAAGCTAAACTATACAATTTGGTATTGTTTACAAGCAAGCACAAAAGTCCGTTCGGATTAGTATGCTGAAGTGGCAATGGACCGGCCATATAGCCCGAAGAACCGCCAACCGATGGGGAAGAAAAGTACTCGAGTGGCAGCTTACACCGGTAGGCGACTAGATGGAGTGACGACCCCTTGTAAGACATGCAGAAAGTCAATGGGTGCAGATGGCTCAGGACCGTGCTTTGTGGCATCCGTTGGGGGAAGCCCGTGTTCAGCAGTGGACTTGTGAAGGGCTGTAATGAAGATGATGATGATGATGATGAACCATAAAAATAATATCCATTTTCTTCATCATCAGCCAGTAACCATCCATTGCTTCTCTACCATAGGGAGGATTCATTGTCATGCTTGACATGTGAATAGACGATTGTAGTACCAGACACCTCGTACTGTTTTGCGTTCCCGGTCTGGTTATTATATTTGTAAATAGCTTATACCCGCGAATTCGTCCACGTAGGACAGAACACTTGCAGATCTATAATAGTGGCTTTAGGCAAGGCAAGCAGTTCAAATATCGAAAAACCACTTTAAACTCTGTTTTTATTTTCTATTGAATCTTGAAAACTATATGCGATATGGAAAAATGATCAATTAGTTTAAAGTAATAATCAAATCTAATAAAAAAACATTAAAAGTTTTGTTGTAAAATGGCGTTGAAATAAAATTATATTAAAAATCGATTCGGCATCCAAATTTTTAATATGTTATATTTTTTGTGTAAAATGGCAACCTAAAAAAGATTTGTTCGTTTTTTTTTTATAATTCATATAGTTTATGAGATAATTTATGTATCAGTTTTTGGATTATACAGGAAAATCCTGCATGCTTTTTCGATAAAATATAGCCCAGATCGCTCCTGGCCTCCACGATTGTAGAAAGTCAACTTGGCTAACCCCGCTGCTCAGCCGGTAGCCGTGGTAGGAAATCTAGAATTCAGTTCTGTCGACCGAATTTAGACGTCATGCGTGTAGTAGCGTTTGAGTGAGCATTTTTTCCGCCGCTTAATATTACTATGCTTGAGAAGTTCAGTCAGTGTTGACTCAGTCTGTGTTTGCCTGTTGTCTGCGCAGGTCCAGTATTTATTCCTTTAGATTTAGATTGTGAGTTTTTTTTAACTATTAAGTGCCGGTGCTTGACTACTAACTATCCTTCCTGATTGTGTGTGGTGGTCATCTTAGCTATTTACACTTGCCTTGATTATTCTCAATGTGGGTATGTACCGTTTATTTTAGAGTTTAAAAATGTTTGCAGAATAAAACTGCAATTTTCATTCAGTCAAAAATTGTATTGTAAAATATTTGTAATTATTTCAACTTACATAAATCACTTAACTGTCTAACTTAAGCATATTTTACTCCTTTCCACACGGATGTGCCTTCGATGACGCATTTGCAGCCACATCCAGTTGGACAGTTGTCATGATGAGCGAACCTGTAAAAGTAATCTTGATCAATTACCAAACATCGTAAATCGAAGCGCCTACCACTCGCTTTCTCATTCACGATTGACGACCTGGTAAGAGGATACAGGAAGTTGATAGATAGAAGTGACTCAGAAGCGCAAACTTGTGATGGATGATGAGTGTTTGATGTGCGTGTGATGATGATATGTCGTCTTTGTGCGTGTGCGTGTGCATGTACGTGTGCGTGTGCAGGCCAGGCGCGTTCATCACGACGATGGCGCGCGAGGTGGCGCGGTGCGCGGGCGCTGTGTTGATGTAATGATGTGTCTGTGTCTGTGTGCGTGTACGTGTGCGAGTGCAGGGCGAGCGCGATCATCACGACGATAGCGCGCGAGGTGGCGCGGTGCGCGGGCGCTGTGATGATGTGATGATGTGTCTGTGTGCGTGTGCGTGTGTGTGTGCAGGCCGGGCGCGATCAACACGACGATGGTGCGCTAGGTGGCGCGGTGCGCGGGCGCTGTGATGATGTGATGATGTGTCTGTGTGCGTGTGCGTGTGTGTGTGCAGGCCGGGCGCGATCAACACGACGATGGTGCGCGAGGTGGCGCGGTGCGCGGGCGCTGTGATGATGTGATGATGTGTCTGTGTGCGTGTGCGTGTGCGTGTGCGTGTACGTGTGCGTGTGCAGGCCGCGCGCTATCAACACGACGATGGCATGCGAGGTGGCGCGGTGCGCGGGTGCTGTGATGATGTGATGATGTGTCTATGTGCGTGTGCGTGTATATTTTTAAATTTAAATTCTAGTAGAACATAATAAAGAAAACACCAAAGGTTAATTTGCGAGGCTGTTGCGATCCATTCCCGGCTTAACAGCAACGCTGGTACGTGGTAGATTCACCTACCGAGTCAGGACCACGTTCTCACGGAATACCCTTACTGCTCATAGATCACATGCATAATCTCCATACATAATAGGAAACACTGTATACTGTATTCTATCTCATTCTCTTGTAGGCTAAATCCTATGGATGTATATGTTTGTCTCTTGTTCGTTTCAAATCGCAACGACTTCAAAGTTTTTAATTAAAAAAAACTAAAGTAGTATACCAGTTGAGCAGGTGCGTCGCATGCCCGGCGTGGCCGCAGAGCGCGCAGGCGACGGCGAGGCCGCGCACGCCGAGCGCGCACACGGCGCAGCGCAGCGCGGCGCGGCGGCACGCGGCGCACGCGCCCGCGCGGCACACGCGGCCGCACCACGCGCACTGCCACACCGCCTCCGGGCCCGCCGCGCACACGCCGCCCGCGCCGCCCCCGCCGCCCGCACGCCCGCGCCCCCACACCTGCTTCATCACCTGCACACACCCACAACACGCACTTCAAATACCGCCACAATCACGTACGTGATTTCGCTTTCGCCGACAAATGCGACGTCACTCAGTAACTCTGGCGTAGTAGCCGCTTGCCGGGTCATTGCGTTAACACGAAATTGCGCCATGACGCAACAAAATTTAAACACACCTGTCAAAATAAAACCGCGTGGCCAGTAAGTAATAATTTACGACCCGTTTCCGTTTTTCTGATGGTTTCAAGCCGAGACTCGTACCTCCTTCTGGGCCCTTGAATCACCTCCCCTAGCTTAAGGACTCACTCCAATAGCAAGCACCCAACTTCGGGACTGCAGTCGCCAGCAGAATCGGTGCACTCGACAACTTGTCGGCGCACTCAGTAGCTCAATACCTCGCCTACGAGTCTATTTGGATGAAGTTACAAAGGCCGCAGGTCCAACAATATACACTAGTTCCATGTGCCCATGCAGTAAGACTCAATGATAGACGCGCAGCTATGAGCAAGGAATAATTGAAACGGAATCATTATCTCACCTTGCAGGAGTAGTTTGTGGTTTTACTACTGTAATACCTATAGCCTTCTACATCCTACAACTTTTTGCATTCCGAGGCACTGAGAAATTTCAAAATATATACTCAATAACTGGACCGACCCTAGATTTGAACACCGGAACCTTCTGAAGTAAAACTTTTTACGGGAGACTTGAAAACGCGATTGTACAATTAGTGCGTGTTGCCAGTGATAACCTATGGATCTGAGACGTGATCCTTCACTGCTGGTATGAGGAAGCTTAAGATCGATCACTCAGCCAGCTATGGAGAGGGCTATGCTCGGGGTTTCTCTGCGTGATACGAGGGCTGCACTAAAAGTATCGGGAATAGAATATTTCCACTGTTCCTGTCATATTAAAATCTTTTTAATTGAAAACTTCTTGGTTTTAAAAATCAAATACCATTTATTTATTTAAAAAAAGATTCTAGGTCTTGCCGCAAGGTTTTATCAAACTTGTTTAGTCGTTGAGAAAATGGAATTGACTCGAAAAAATTCAAGAGCGATGATTTATTATGACTTTCGAAGTGAAGTGGTGTTAAACACAAAAACAGTGTGTTGACCGGATGATTTCTGCATTTGGTGATGAAGCCCCATCCAAAACCACAATTTATCGCTGGTTTGCTGAATTTCAACGTGGACGTGTCAAGCTCAGTGATGATCCCCGTCAAGGTCGTCCAAAAACTGCAGTCGCTCAAGAAAACGTTGATGCTGTGCGTAAGCTAATTGAGGAAGACCGACATGTGACATACCGCGAAATTCAGGCAACTTTAGACATTGGCATGAGTTAAATACAAATAATCTTGCATGAACAATTAGGTGTAAAAAAGTTGTTTTCCCGATGGATACCGCATTCGCTCTGTGAAGAGCAAAAAGCGGCTCGCGTTACTTGGTGCGTCAGAACTCGCGAAAGATTCCACGCAGGATCCTCAAATACTGTATACAACATCGTATCAGGTGACGAATCCTGGATATATGCGTACGAACCCGAAACAAAAAACCAGTCACGAGTTTGGATGTTCGAAAATGAGTTAAAGCCAACAAAAATTGTTCGTTCACGCAGTGTTCCAAAAAAAATATGGTGGCCACGTTTGTCTCCAAAACCGGCCATGTTACGACTATTCCTCTTGAGAGACAAAGAACGGTTAATGCAGAATGGTATGCTAGCATTTGTTTGCCACAGGTCGTTTCTGAACTCCGTAAAGAGAACTGCAACCGCCGTATCATCCTCCATCACGACAATGCGAGTTCTCACACCGCACACAGAACAAAAGAGTTTTTAGAGCAAGAAAACATAGAATTATTAGACCATCCGCCGTACAGCCCCGACCTAAGCCCTAATGATTTCTATACTTTCCCTAAAATAAAAAATAAATTGCGTGGACAGAGATTTTCATCACCTAAAGAAGCTGTGGACGCCTACAAAACGGCCATTTTGGAGACCCCAACTTCCGAATGGAATGGTTGCTTCAATGATTGGTTCCATCGTATGGAAAAATGTGTCAAATTTCGCGGAGAATACTTCGAAAAGCAATAAATACATTTTTAAATAGTAATGTTGTGTCACTTCCTTGATTCCCGAAATTTTCAGTGCCGCCCTCGTAAACTTAGAAATGAGGATATCCGCAGTAGATCCAGAATGACTGACATAGTTCAACGGATTAGTGAGCTGGAGTGGCAATGGGCCAGCTATATAGCTCGAAGAACCGACAACCGATGGGGAAAAAAGGTTCTCGAGTGGCAGTCTCGTACCGGTAGGCGAAGTGTAGGGCGACCCCCCACTAGATGGAGTGATGACCTAGTAAGACATGCAGGAAGTCGATGGATGCAGGTGGCTCAAGATCGTGCTTTGTGGCATTCCTTGGGGGAGGCCTATGATCAGCAGTGGACTTGTGAAGGGCTGTAATGATGATGAACAAGCCATAACACTATATTATTTGATATAAAAAATTTTTTGAGTTATATATAATTGACTTTTAACTGACTACATTGATGATGTTCAAATTTTATTTATATCGAAGTCGGTTATACAAAATTTTTAATTTTACCACTTTAAACCTCAATCCGCATGTCCATATTTAAGAATAGAATAGAATAATTTTTATTCATAATACAATACATGTAATTCCTATTGAGCCATTTTTTACCATTATCACAGGTTCGGAAGAAAACCTCTGTCCTGGGAAGAGACAGTAATAAACTCAGCGGGAATTTTAAGGCTAATGAAGTTAAAAAAGAATTATCATTATCAAATTTACCTCAGTTCTTTTATAGAGAAGCTGCCAACGATGTAGTATGTCCGCGTAAACACGCTTAAAGCAATTATATAGGTGTACAGTAGCTTCATCTAGTACGCACGAAGAAACTGGCTCTGATTTAGACATGGTTGAATCTGTGTGGAAGTTTTCTGCTTCTGAACAAGAATTACTCCGAAATATGACTGGTAGTGTCCACCCGTCGGCGCTTATTTCACTATATTGATTCAGAGTGCTGTATGGGGAAGTTCCATTGCCCTAAAAAATTAAAAATATATTTGGACCTGTAATGAAGAAACACCTTAGAGAATATTATTAATAATTTTTGCACTCAACAAAAATGTTTAACTCGTCGTGCCTTAAAAATAATTATTATATTATAACGTTATTTTATTACAATATTATTATATTCTAGTATGTGCTATTAAGATAGCCAATGATCATTTATTTATTTATAATCAAAAAAAAATCTAGTTTTTCGGATAAAATATAGCACAGAATTCATATTCCGAAGACCGTCAGTCAGACAGACAGACAATAATTTTGTTCGTGCCTCAATTGCATGCAAATAAACTCCTGAGTTTGATAAAAGCCAATAATTTTACTATTACAGACTGACACTACAATTTTATAGGGGATAGAAAATAAAATATAAAAGGAGATACGTAAAAGTGAGGGTAGACAGAAAACCCTCATTCGTGCGTTGAATAACTGTATGCAGCATATAGTTAAACGCGCGCACCGTGCGAGATTACGAGTCTTAATAATCAGTGTTGTCCGTTGTAGTAATTCCTTTTGTACAAGCAAAGAAGGTCGTGTTGAGAGGCTGCCCTTTGTCACATCGGGATTAACAGTGTTGCTGTTGATTCTCGTATCTTCATTTATTTTGGTGTTATAATGGTTAAAACGTTTTTTTATAGAATAGGTTGACAAACGAGCACACCGTCCACCTGATGGTAAGTGGTCGCTGTGGCCCATATACGTCTACATCTATCCTCAATAAAGAATCATAATGTAGATGCGTTGGCACCCATGAGGACTAAGTTGCATGCCTCTTTGCCAGTAAAAAGGGTCTCCGGTTCTCTACACTTACCATACGAAATACAGCAGTGTTAAGCTGCTATTTTACGCTGGTATTCTGTGAGAGCGTGGTCCTTCCCCAGTCGACGTTACACTTATGTGTTATTATGGCCGGGACCTATTAGGGTATGGTCAAATTATAACTGCTCTATATTGAATGTAAACTGCGATATGCTGTTTTATTGTTTGAACATACGTTTTCACACTATTATTATTATTTACACACTATTTATTGTATTTCTAACATAAAGATAGCATTATAGAATATTTTGAACCTTTATTAACATTAAGAATTAAAACCAACTGGACAGTTGCCAAGCGTGGCATTTAGCGCAAATATCCCCCCTATGAGGCAATCTATGGGGGAAGCCTATGTTCAACAGTGGACTTTAATAGGCTGTAACGGTAACGGACAGTAAAAATTATATTATATTAAACCTAAAAACCTAAATTTTAACAAAAATCAAACTCACGCAACTCGATGTGCTAATGGTAGATTGTGAACTTGAACTATTGGTGTCATTAAAAACAGCAAAAGCGCTCGCCAACATTGCTGCCATTTGCACATCAGAAGCTTTAGCATAGTGAGATATTCTGAAATTTTAATATTAATCAACACATATCGTATTTGTTATTGTAGTAAATGTAATTTAAACAAATAAACCAAATGACTACTAATAAATTTAAATAATTACGATGTAGTGGCGGTGTAAGAATATCCCCTACCCGATATCGTCCCGTGGGTGTCGTAAGAGCCAACAGACGGAAACAACTTTAAAAAACTGCGGTTGTTAGCCCGCCTAGCACGCGTAACAACTATTGCAAATACACAGGGGTGTATTCCCCCTCCCCCCGCAGAATGTGCAGCAACATAGGGATGTGCAGCATTCTGCGGGGGGGGGGGGGGCTATGTTATTAATGTATATAGTGGTGTTATATACGAGTTGCTAGTCGTGTGGTGCGGTATTGCGCAGTATAGTGTATGTGCTACTTAACGGTTTAATTTTATGGTTACCATCAAATCAATATTTTTTTATAGAATAAATGTGACAAACGAGCACACGGTCCATCCATAGACATCTACATCTATCCTCGATTATGATCATTCAGATTCTGCGTTGTCAACCTTGAAGACTAAAATGGAATGCTTCGTTTACAGTAAATGGGTCCAGTTCTTTTCACTCACCATACGAAACATAACAAACATACATTTTTGTATAAAAAAAGTAAAATTTATATTAGACCCAAAATAATTTAAAAAAAAAATGGCTAAGAGAACGGAATGGAACAAGGAAACAAATAAAAAGACTTTGGATACTAACAGTGCTTGAACGAGGTTGCAGCAGAGCGGATGTCCAACCCAGCCCATGCTCTCTTCACTCGACATCATATGATCAGTAAGCCGTGCGGATAAGGCTCGAGCTGCAAGCGCTGCTAATCCCCACGCATGCGCAAGATCGCTCTCACCTTCCTCAGTGGCCACTTTTGCATTCTTTTCACACATTTCTAGAAAAAATATTTTATTAAACCATACGTGCGAATAAGCTAAGACTAATTAGGCCATCATCATTGAGTTATATGTACTACGTACTAAACAAGCTATTCCAAACAAAAATTGTGCGCTACTCTGTCTTCGCGCATGCGCGGGAGGTAGTAGAGTCGCGCATGCTCGAAGACTTTAATTTAATATAAAATACTAATATAAAATATATATATATATATATATATATATATATATATATATATATATATATATATATATATAAGAATTTAATATAAAAGACTCTTATTTTAATCTAAACAAACATATTTCTAAATAAAATGTAATAATAATTATCTTGTGGAATTCACAAATCTTCAATTTACGCAATACTTAGTTTAGTGTACGGAGTGCAGTACAGTTCAGTTGAACATAGTCAATGTCCGGAATGCGAAATCTAGTGCGTATTACATATATGTCGATGGGCATCATAATCTTTAAGTGTAACATTGATTGGCAAATCACTTACGAGTATTAAAATACCTTTATTTAAACATTCATAATATAAGATTACAAATGAACTCTTTTCAGACTTACCTACTGGATTATCGGCGTTGATATTGTATTTTTCGGCCAGTGATCGGTTAAGAGGGAAAAGATTATTGGCAGCGTACAATACCACTCGAGGTGATGAGCAGCCAGAAATACTGCCCCGACTGCGTATGTTACCTGCTCGGCGACTTTGAGCTTTCTAAAACGATATTTTAAGATATTGTAAATTATTATAAATTATAAATATTGTGAAAAAGATGAAATTAAAAGTAGGTATTTATTTATTTTTGATTATCGAAAATGTGAAGGTAAGCAGTTTCAGACAGAAGAAGAAATTATTAATTGCATTCAGAAGTTAGTGAACACGCAAACACAGAGTTACCCAATGGGATTAAACAGACAAATACCTCTTTCTTTAGTATTTTTTTATAAGGGTGACAAATGAACACACAGTTCACCCTGGTCGTAAGTGGATGCTGTGAACCGTAGACACATACATCTATTCTTAATTAAGAATTAAAATGTAGATGCGTTATCACCTCTGAGACATGAGGACTGTTTTTCTACGCTGGTATTTTGTGAGAGCGTTTTTCTTCCCTCGTGAAGCCAAGACACATTCGTGCTGCAACCATAATATAGATGCAGCTCTACTATAGTATATAATATTTACTATATTATATACATACTATAGTAATATTTACATAATCTATATTATAGTATATAAATAGTAGCACTACCAAGATAAAGGTTTTTCTCTATAGATGGTACTACCCGTGCGGTTAAGGAATGGGATTGAAAATGGCATCGCCTCTATTCACTTCTCGCTTGCACACTGTTGTTATCTATATTCACACCGCCGGTAAAGACTGCAAAAAAACCATTGCGATATGCGTCTTTTGGTACGTTCTATATCTTCAGTCCAACTTGTCACTGTTTTCAATGATAACTAATTCCCATAAACTACAAAAAAAGTTCGGTTTTGCTAATTTGTGAGCTACGACGCGTTCTGAGATTTTTCTTCATAATTATTGTTGACTATGTTTGTTAATATTTTTGTATAAAATATTTACACGCCAGGAGACAAGAGTAACCATTTTTAAAAATTTCATTTGTCTGTCTGTCCGAGCTGATCTCCGGAATAGCTGAAACAATTGTAATTAAACTTCACGAACAAATGGAGAATGGATAGACTAAATTTAGTCTAGATCACCAGGAGTGATCTAGACTAAATTTTATCAGAAAAGTGTAGAGCTTTTATTGAAATAGAAATATTGATAAGATAAATAGTGTTTAATTATTATTTTAAGTCTAAATAACGCCGCATTAATAGATCCGACCCAAGCGAAGCTAGAGCGGGTGAGTAGTTATAAATGTTAATGTGACACAAGCTAGTAGTACCAGTTACTCGACTCCATCGAGTCAGTAATTCATTCTTGGGGCGATGTATACGCTTTTACAACAAAATTCCAGAAAATATACAACATTTGATTTGCTCAAAGTTCAAAAACTTTATTAAACTAAGTTTGTATAAAAAGGGTTATTATAATATTAAAGATTTTATGGATGATAATAACCCCTGGAAATGAGGTGATCGCTACCAAGCTATTTCTAATTTGTTGTGTTTTTAATTTGTGTAACGTACACGATTGTAAGCTGTTATTTAAAAAAAAAGTCCCGCTGGGTTTCTTGCTGGTTCTTCCCAGGACAGAGGTTTTTTTTTCCGAACAAGTGGTAATTAAACAAAAGAGTGAATTTCAATAAGTATTATTTATAATCTATATTGAATAAAAAAGCTACTGTTTCTGTTATTTAAAAATTAATATACCTATTTGGGTATAGAATTCTTTGTAAATATTTTGTCATTAGTAGAAAATTTCCAATTAACAGAATAATATAAGGTTATAACGATATACCGTTATTTCGCTATTTGTACTGTGTATTATGACCGTACGGGTGCGATGAGCCGCCATTTCTAATCCCATTCTTTATCAGTACGGACTATATATACATAAAATTAATAGAAACATTACAACCTATATATGCAAGCCTCCTCTTATTTTTGAAAGGGGAACATATTTTACTTTTTTTATTAACAAAATGTTGAACCTTATACTTTGATCAATAAGTAATGACTCTTACCCATCTATCTTGAAAATAGAATGTGGTTATGGAATTCGATGCATGTCTGTGATGTAGTTGTGGGAAACCAGATGCATTTGTCGGAGATGGTGTTGTAGTTGCATGTGGTGATACGGAACTAAAGCCTCCGCTGAATAATCCAGGTGTTAAGGACAGAGATGACATTGATCGTGGAGTTCCAGTCTCGTGTTTCAATGACAGACGTCTCGCATTTGCCGGTCGGTTGAATACTACTAAAGTGCTAACACCGCACCACTTAGCACCACATGTACGAGGGAAAGGGATACAAGAATCCCCAGCATTCTCACTCTCTGACTGACTTCTTTGGCTTGATTTCATTGAATCCGAATCATCACTAGACTTTACTGGAATCTGTAACAAAATATTAACTAAAACAATCTTCAATAAATTTACTCACTTTACACTTGGGTGTATTGTAAATTAGATAGTTATTAAAATTATTTAAAGAATGATTATAGTTCATCAGAAAATATCCGATTGGAGGTTCGCATGAAGTGTCAAAAATATGGAGACAGGCGTAATCTCAATCAGAACCAAAAATTTGTTGGGTACCCAAATCCACGTGGTTGTCATGAGTACTGACCTATGTACAACTATACCACTATAGTTCGAGAAAACGAGCTTCTTTGGAGAGTGTTTGCCGTATCTCAATGCTTACCAGATGGTTTAGCCAATGAGTTTCAGATGTCTTGCACATTTGACATTGGCTGATCCTGGGATTTTATATTTGATAATATACATACTACGTAGGATGAGTATATTTCCATAGTCAGTCAATTGACCTTTCGCTCAGTCGCCCCTTACAACAAACAAGTAATTACTGGAAGTGATGGTTTCTCTGCATGCATGACATTACACATAGTCAGAGACAGATTTACGCAGAAAATAAATGGTTGATCCTAATACCAGTGATCGAGCATTTTAATTCATTCATTACAGCCTTCCTCATTAGAGGCATATTTAGCATGCTTGAGATGGGTGTAACACAAGTCTACCATTGAACCTAGGCCTCTCCCATAGATTGCATCGGGGGGGAATTTTGTAATAGTTGCCATGTTTGACAAGCGGCAATCACGGTTTTATTATTATTTTGAGTTGTTATCAGGAAGATGCTGAAGTCCATCTCCCTTTTCAATTTCCATTTGTCGCCTCTAACGATGCTCACTGGATGGGTGTTGGTTGGTTGAGTTTTTTTATTGAGTTATTATTCTCCTAATAAAAACTCAATAAAAAAAACTGCAGTGCTGATTGCACATTTCTTGTTTCAGTTTTTCTCGGCTGCTTCTTATAACACCCATGGGATGATATGGGATAGTGGATATTCCTACGCCTTCACTACTTTGCGGCCATCTACCCAGTTTCAATAATTTTTCAATATCATTAATTGCAATAGTACAATTGCAGTACACTATTATATCATGCATTGACAGCTTTTGGTTGTATTTGGAAATTGATACTTGTCATATTGAAAGATTTGTTGTTATTCTATTTGGGAGTATTTGTATATTTTGTTAACTAATAAAGTAAATTGAATGTAAGTAATTTAATATTCACTTATGAAAGTTTGTCTTTTTTCATGCTACCAACCTTAAGACACAATAATATTCAACCTCTGTGTTATATTCTATAATTCTGAACATATAAATACTATAGTCGAACTGGCCAAGAGAACACTATCATCATCATCAGGTATGGCACTAATCTACATAATATATCAAAAAATAACTAATAAAATAATTTAAAATTTGTAGTTAACCTAGTACATGAAACACACTGTGACCGTGTAGTGGTGGTGTATGAATACTCACTACCTCATATTGTCCTGTGGGTATTGTAAGAGGCGACAGAGGGAAACTAAAACAGGAGATGGGCAGCAGCATCTTCCTGATAATAGCCGAGAAAAATAAAAAATTTATGCGGTTGCCAACACTGATGCCAAGGCTGTAATAGAGTAAATTGATGGAATACATAAATTTACCTCATCAATAGATGTTGCCAATGTTTTTAAGCAATGTAAGAGACATCTATGCCCTTCTTTCTTTTTACGATAAGCTGTTTTGTTAATCGCCTGTAAGATTTTGATGGTAGTTACACTGTCGACATTAGTTCCAGATAGCCATGAGAACTTTGGAATAGTCTGTTCAGTAACATTTCTAGGAAATGTCACTTGCAAGTTAGCAATATAACAATTCCGTTCTGAGTGGATTTGACATGTTCGTGTCTCTATGTTCATATCAGTAACTTCAATGTTTGCCATCTCACGGATTGATTCAAATTCTTCATCTATTGATGTTGTTACTTTGTGTGATATTTTGTTCTGAAATTATGAGAAATAATGAGTCATATAATGTCATCATTAAATAAAATAGAGTGAATTTAAATTATTACATACCATTTGGATATCTTGACCTTTATCAGTTATCGAAAGATCGTTTATAGAGCCAACTGTGGATGCATAGCTAACTGCTGAAAATTTAAACAATTTATGAAATATTATTTTTAATGCACAATATTACACTTAGTGTATATAATAAAATATAATACTTACAATCACTGTTGTTGTCTTCCTCATTATCCATATCGTCTGGTAAATAGTGTGAACACATTTTTAGCAATGATGGATGCATTGTCCAAATTCTTAGGGACTGATCCCTTCCCCATGTTATTAACTGATAATTTGATGGAGATGTGTTTGGTCTCCAAACCATAGTTTGTACTGTGTCTGTATGTCCTACTAATCTATGAGTCAATGTACCACCTACCCAAATACCAATTACCCCTGCCTGCTCAACTCTGGGTAAACCTCCCCATCCAACGCCAATAGTCAATAATCCACTTCCAAATGGAGTATAAATTGCCCTCCATACTGGAAAATTAGTCATTATAATGTTTTCAGGCCTTCTGGCATTATTAATATCAAAATATTTTATGCTCCCATCATGACTAGATGTTACTAATTGGTATTCATGATGTGGACTCCAATCCACTCCATGAATTTTACATAAGTGTGCTGAAATATAATGTATTGGTGAAGCTGGTTTACGGTAGTCCCAAATTTTTATATCTCCATCATGTGCTGTAGCAACTATGTGTGTGGCTACTTTGTTCCATTGTACTTGTGAAGCTCCAGCTGCAATTTTAAAATTAACATTAGTAATCATATTTTTACGTGGTAGAGCCATGTTGCAGCTATATTCATAGCACGAATGGGTCGGCTCAACCTGGGAAGGACCACACTCTCACAGAATACCAGCGTAAAATAGCAACTTAACGCTGCTGTGTTTCGTATGGTGAGTGTAGAGAACCGGAGACCCTTTTGACTGGAAAAGAGGCATTCAATCTTAGTCCTCACGGGTGACAACGCATTTGCATTTTGATTTGTAATTGAAGATAGATGTAGATGTCTATGGGCCACAGCAACCACTTACCATCAGGTGGACTGTGTGCTTGTTTGTCACATTTGTGCATCCTATAAAAAAAAATATTTACATATTTTATACAAAATTACATTAAACCACTCAAAATTGGTAATTTTTATCTTTTAATTAAATAATAAAGGAAATTCTAAAGTCCCCTGATGTATTATTACTTCTTATGGTTACTGAATAAACTTAAGTGACAGTGGAAGCATTAAATTAAGTAATGAAATTTGGGGTTTGTATCAATATTTATATTTACAGTTCATTTATAAGTTACTAAATATGTTTATAAATTATTGCAGTGAACAGAAAAGTCAAAAAACATGGAAAATAATGAAGATATTTTAATTTTGATTAATTATTAAATAATATACTTCATACATACCAACTGCACACAAGGATATGATAGGTTTTCTTGCATCTCGCAAATCCCATAAGTGTGTGAAAGTGTCTATGGAGCAGGTTGCAATGAGATTGTGGTCTTGTCTGTGAAAATGTGTATCACTGACAACCCTGGTGTGACCACGCAAAGAACATATACATGTAAGATCATTACCTGCTCGCCAATCATATACATCTACTCGCTGATTACTCTATAAACAGGCAAGCATATAACATTAAAATTGTGCTAAATATTTGATAAAATAACAAAAACATATAATGAAGTCAATTAAAATCATTTTACCGCAATGGCACATAGATTTTTTCCTTGATACGTTTGACACCATTCCGCTCCAGCGGCGTCATATTTACTATGACGGGGATACTTTTTAACAATGTCTCCAGTCGTATCATCATCTAAATTGATGTGTTTTATAGCCAACCATCTACGTCCTGCTAGCAAAACATTATTTCCCGAATAATCTACAGACATGGCAGTAGCCTGTAATTCCCTGTACTCCCATTTCATGGTTTCCGAACTCCAGTGCACTGACATGATTGATATGTATTATATCACTAACGAATAAAAGTTCATTGAGCTTCATATGCCTGTTTATATTTTTTAAAATGCAATTCAATAAACCCAAATAAACAATCCAGTAATTCTTTAAAACGTCAGATTGACAATCTTGTTGACAATCAGCTGTTTGTTGAAAAAGTTCAAGTTACGCACATAAAAAGTGTTAAGGTAAGTCTACAAAAATATGTCACAAGATTGTAATAACAAGAAAAAAGGCAATTTTCTTTATGAGCCTAATAAGTTCATATATAAATAAATATGTAGCTAGCTAAATCAGATATAATGTGTACAACAAGGCTATTTAGCAATATAACAAGAACGTTACTACAAGCAGTGGCGGATTAAAGGAGGGGCTAGGGGGGGCTATAGCCCCGGGCCCCACCTTGGGAGGGGGCCCCGCGGTCTCGAATCAAAAATAAATTTTTTAAACCTGTTCCAAATATTTTAATATAAGTAAAATGTTTTCCAAAGAAAATAAGTTAACCAAAATTATCTACGATTTTTAATTTGCCATCAGTTAACTATTTGTTGGCCAACGACGGGTGTAAATCTGTGATGAAATAACGAAATGGTGGTATTATTAGCGAATGGGTTGGGAAAAACGCTAACGCTGCAGCAGTTGGTCACGGTGGCGAACGGTTGGGGGAAATTTCTACCAGAGAATGTTAATGTTTATCGCGTAATAATTTGAGTTATTCATTCATGCCAAAGGTTGTGATTTTCTTTTTTACTTATATAATTTAAATAAATTTATATGAAAATTTATTTAATAACAATTCTAAAGAAAACAAAAGAGAAAAATTAATTCTGT